CGTGGAATCCAGGAAGCTGTCACCCCGGTTCGTCAGGACAGCTTCCCCTCCTCATCCTGTTCCCCCGCTGTACCTCGTCGGAGGACAGCCGGCTTTTACTGTGGACCAGATCCTGGACTGGGGAGGGGTCTCCAATTTCAGGTGGACTGGGAGGGTTATGGGCCAGAGGAGCGGTCCTGGGTGCCCAGGAGAGACATTCTGGACTCAGGGCTAATAACAACATTCCGTCGCCTCCACCTGGAGGTGCCGAGGTGAACGGCTGGGGACGTTCGTCGGGGGGGGGGGGGGGGGGGGGGGGGGGGGCACTGTTACAGGAGGGGGTCGCAGTTCCGGAGTGACCTACTAGGTGTCATCCTCCGACAACCTTAGGCACCTCCTCACTTACAGTCTGGTCTAATCAGTATCCTATTGGTGTCACCTGTGTCTACCTGTGTATTTCTGCCCTCACTTCCCTGTGTTTACATTTAAGTCATTTAGCAGAAGCTCTTATTCAGAGTGACTTACAGTTAGTGAGTGCATACATTTTTCATACTGGCCCCCCGTGGGAATCGAACCCACAACCCTGGCGTTGCAAGCGCCATGCTCTACCAACTGAGCTACAGGAGGCCTGTGTTGCCTTGCTCAGTTTTCTCTGTTAGTTTCTCTATGTCCAGCAGTACTACTCAGTGTCTGATCAGAGACCTATGTACAGGTACTTGAGAAGTGTTCTCCCTGTTTCGTTATTTGTTTCAGTCGTAGGTAGTATTTTGTATTTTGGCTGTCCGTTTTTGGAGACTTATTTGCTCCGCCTTTCTTTTACCGTGATAAGTCTGTTATTTTTCTATTTTAGCTTTGGGACCACCAGTAAAGATCCTTGTTTCACCATCTCTGCCTACTGTATATCCTGCACCGCACCTGGGTCACACCTCACACCGACCCTTACAGTTTAATGTTACTTTCATACAAGGTCCGACATGCCTTATATTCTGATGGTCTGATGATATTTACATCAGTCCGTTTTTGCATGTGTTCTTACTGAAGCTGTTACATTCCTCTCTTTAAGGAAATATGAAATGCTCTTTAACTGCCTTGTTAAATTACTTATGTTGTTATAGTGCCGGATTCCAAAGAGATGTATTATAAATGTTTACAGTAGGCCTATTGTGTATTCTTTATTCAGTACTCTTGTTTATTCATTAGTATTGTCTGGTTTTCCCAACCCTGAAAATGTGAAATATATTATGTACACTCTCAGGGTCAATTGCAACCAACAGGCAGAACATAACGCGCAGCTGCAGGTTAGCGCTGGATCTCTTAAAACGCTACTAACAGGAGAGGACATGCCACTGCGTGTTAAAACAAACTTGCTTGCAACCAAAAACCCACAAGAATAAACCTGCAGATCAGTTGATCTCCCATTGTTACTGTGTCAAATTAGTTAGATAACAGACAGCTGCATCTAGGTTCTCTACTCCAGGCCCCAATGAAATATTGACCGAACAGGAACATTGAAAATAGCGAGGCTGGTAATTAATGAAAACTATTTAATGTAAACCTATAGACCCAGTGAATTGTAAGAAACTTGAGTACAGTAAACCCGAGAAGGGTATAGTTCAGTACAGGAAAGTAGAGTATAGTACAGTAGAGTACTGTATTGATACTCTACTGTACTCTACTTTCCTGTATTGTACTGAACTATACTCCACTCGAGTTTACTGTACAGTAAAGTACAATACAGTACATTATAGACATCTATGTTTGGGCCACATTAGAATATAATTTGTCATTTGACATACCTTGATTAGACTATAATTTCATGAAAACGTATATTATATTAACTCAATCATTATTGGCTTGATTAAGTTACCGATGTTAGATGTAGACAGTTCAGGAATAGTTTATTTTCCTCTTTTGATAAGAAATGACCATACTGTATTAAGACAAGTTTTTATTCATGGGTTAAATTAATTGGAAATGAAAAGTAAGTATATCAACACAAGCTTTGCATTAATAAAATGTTTAGAGTAGCCTAAATTGCCACAGTAGATTATCTCTTTAGGGAGTGGTATATGGTGGCAAATAGTGGCAGCAATTGAGATCAGCTGTGGGGGTGATCTTAACGCATATTGATATGGTTTAATGAGAGATCACCTAGTGTTGAGATGGTGCTCAATTTTGTTTGCAATTTATCCTCAAATACTAGCTTTTGGGTCTTTATAAATTATTTCTAAACATCTTAATAATCAAGCAAATGTTACACAAATCCAAAATGGCACATTATTAATTCATATCTAATTGTTTGCCAAACTTACAACCCGGGAATTGCTCAGACATCATGATTATCATATTCTAATGCCATACATAATATACTGTATATTTTGTATGAGCTGACAGCGCTGTAAATTATATGCAATAATAAAACCGACCAGCTATTGGACAAGAAATCCCTGGTATTTCCACTGCAGTGATGAAATGTTGATGACGCAACCCAGCTAGCACATAACGTTCTGAGAACCATATGTTTCAGAGCTTGTTAAGAGCATGGTTATCCTATAGTTATTTTGCATACAACCTTCCCACAACTTTCTGGAAATGGTGCAGGATAGTTGCTTAGCTTTGGAACATTCTCAGCACATTTAAGGAACGTTATTTAATTGGTATTTCATTACTTCTAGGAATGTTGTCCAACTGGTTTGACATTGGGAATGTTCTCAAATAGGTAAGAGAACATTAGGAATCAACGTTCTTCTTTGGGAATTTCAGTACTTCAGCATAACATTTTCTGCAGGTTTCGTCATGTTTCTATTTAGTCTCTGTGTAGGCAAGTGACACAAAATCTAAATTTGATCCATTTTAAATTCAGGCTGTAACACAACAAAATGTGGAAAAAGGTGTGTCAAGGGGTGTGAATACTTTTTGAATTCCCTTCTCAGCGTCAACAAAACTCTCTATCCTCTATCTTGTTAAGTGTGTTTGGGTGTGCTGGCCCACTAATTGGCCACACCTGATCTTAATGAGTGCTTGCTTCCTTTGAAATGGGGTCTGTTTGAATAGACTTACAGTGAGGGAAAAAGTATTTGATCCCCTGCTGATTTTGTACGTTTGCCCACTGACAAAGACATGATCAGTCTATAATTTTAATGGTAGGTTTATTTGAACAGTGAGAGACAGAATAACAACAAAAAAATCCAGAAAAATGCATGTCAAAAATGTTATAAATTGATTTGCATTTTAATGAGGGAAATAAGTATTTGACCCCTCTGCAAAACATGACTTAGTACTTGGTGGCAAAACCCTTGTTGGCAATCACAAAGGTCAGACGTTTCTTGTAGTTGGCCACCAGGTTTGCACACATCTCAGGAGGGATTTTGTCCCACTCCTCTTTGCAGATCTTCTCCAAGTCATTAAGGTTTCGAGGCTGACGTTTGGCAACTCGAACCTTCAGCTCCCTCCACAGATTTTCTATGGGATTAAGGTCTGGAGACTGGCTAGGCCACTCCAGGACCTTAATGTGCTTCTTCTTGAGCCACTCCTTGTTGCCTTGGCTGTGTATTTTGGGTTATTGTCATGCTGGAATACCCATCCACGACCCATTTTCAATGCCCTGGCTGAGGGAAGGAGGTTCTCACCCAAGATTTGACGGTACATGGCCCCATCCATCATCCCTTTGATGCGGTGAAATGTAAAATGTAACAATGGGAAACCAAAAACGTACGTTCCCACAACTTCCAAGGAACCAAATGTGCTAGCTGGGAAGCGAATCCCCTCCTACAATTGTGCAGGAAGATGGGGCACGCGCTGACAGATCAAACCTCGATGGTGCACAGACAGATCTCATATGGATAAATCTCCGAATTGGTAAGCAACCCTCGTTTCCATTGCATTTTGTCATTATTCCGCTGTTATTGTTGAATGACCGCAATTTCCCGCTATTATGGTTTAAAATAATGCTATTTATGGTGTCAACACGAATCATCTCCGATGGCTTGCTGCGTGAGCGGTGAGGCAACTGGTGTAGGTCTCCGCCAGAATATTGTCATGTGTCCCATAATAATAGCTTTATTCTATTGCATTTTAATGTTTAATATGTTTCGATAGGCTCAGATTAACAGTTTTGTCCAAACAGATCTCGGTGCGCTAAAATGAAACGTGTGCGCAACAAATATCCCTTTCTATTTAAACCAGGGGTGTTTGTTTTGATACACCACTGCACCTGTTCTGTAAAACGTATAGGGCCTGGGCTGATTTATGATATCAGTCAGAATTGCAGAAAAATATATATTGTGGTTGTCAAATTCTTGAAGTGTGCAATGCCATAAGCACAATACATTATTCTGCAGCACAATACATTGCTTTTGTATTATTTCCCGTGACAATTGTGACTTAACAGCATGATTAGTGACATGGTATTGACAATATAAGCATATACATAGCAGCCTATGTAAGGTTATAGTGTGTATTCACTATGGCTCATCTGCCTCTTAACAGGGGTGGTGACCAGAAAAGCACAGAACATGTGATGTAGTTCAGCCTGATCTAGAAGCATGGGGCTGAGGCTAGTTGACAAGGTAAGATCATTCTGAATATTGATACACCCTCAGTTACTGTTCATAAAGATAATTACAAGGCACCTGAAATGCTTATTTATAGATTCAATTAACTGTTTGTGTAGAATTTGCTATGAAGTATAATTACTGATGCACTGTCCATAATAGGCCTATGCTTTGTACAATTTTATCGCATAACATTATGCATGTCACATATGGTGCAAAATAAACCTGAACTTGAAATAAGTCACCAGTTGCTCTGAGTTGCAAATGGCATTTGAACAGCCTTTGTCCTTGCTGAAAGTCAGACCGACAACAAAGCACTAACATTGATCTCGGCACCCAGAACCAAATACAGTGTACACGCTTGCCAGTTAATCGATTTGTTACCTTTCTGTAACAGTCTGTCACTAAAGAGTAACAGACAACACAGCACCCCCCCATATTTTCCAGCAAGGGCAACAGAGCCAGAAGATGGTGATCTTCGGAGCCATCTTCCTCCTGATGACCCTCCTCATCCTCTATAGCTCCAACAGCGGCAATGACATCAGTCCCTTATACAGTCCCTTCAGGGCGTCCATGCCTCATCACGCCATCAAGGTCACCGACCTCAAGAAATGGGCGGGGAAGGAGGGCTATGTTGCTGTCTATGGAAACAAGGTAACTCGCACTCAGGGTTGGAATTACAAAGAAAATCTATGGAACCTCTATTTAATCCAGGAGACCTGGTCAAGAAGGCCACTCCAATATAAAACACATGGGAGCTCAACCAAAAATACGTATTTGAAACACCTTTTCAACGTCTTGTGCTCATAGGGCAGAACAAGCATGTAATCAGAACATGTAGTACACTACAAACAGGTAAGTTTAGTCATCTAGGGAAATATAGTATTGTTTCTAACAAAGATATCTACATATATTTCAGGATGTTGTGTATCCCTCAAGAATTCATGTGAACATTACAGTTTTGAAAACAAAGCTTGTCCCCCCCTGGGTATGGGGTAAATTGAGCTGTGGGACAGGGAAATTTAAGCTGCCTAGAAATTTCAGTACTGAATTAAGTATTACCGCTACCATGTATATCTTTATTTCCCAAACACAATTCAACACAATCACAACCACTTTTTTGTTTTTTTAATAATTTGAATCATTTTTTTAACACAGGCTTAACACGTAACAAACATTTTGTACTTTTTTAAACGCTTTTAACATAGGCCCTGTTGTTACCTCAAATCCCAGTGATAATGCCTTGCATTACACCTGGGTAGAAAACACTTCAATTTGATCAACTTGCCATTGGTTCAACCATTGGCTCAATTTACCCCATGGCCATTGGCTCAACTTACCCCCAGGCAAACATTTTGACTATATTAGCCCGCACAGTTAAAAGTATGCACTTGTCATACTTGAGTAAAAGTAAAGATACCTTTTAAAAGAAAATGACTCAAGTAAAAGTGAAAGTCACCCAGTAAAATACTACTTGAGTAAAAGTCTAAAAGTATTTGGTTTTAAATATACTTAAGTATCAAAAGTAAATGTAATTGCTAAAATATACTTAAGTATCAAAGGTAAAAGTATAAATCATTGCAAAGCTTATATTAAGAAACCAGATGGCACAGATTTTTTATTTATTTATTTATGGATAGCCAGGGGCACACTCCAATAATCCAAAATAATTTACAAATGAAGCATTTGTGTTTAGTGAGTCTGCCAGATCAAAGGCTGTAGTGATGACCATGGATGTTCTCTTGATAAGTGTGTGATTTGGACAATTTTCCTGTCCTGCTAAGCATTCAAAATTTAACAAGTACTTTTGGGTGTCAGGGAAAATGTATGGAGTAAGAAGTACATGATTTTCTTTAGGAATTTCAGAGGAGAAGCCCCGTGTAGCTCAGTTGGTAGAGCATGGTGCTTGCAACGCCAGGGTTGTGGGTTTGTTTCCCACAGGGGGCCAGTATGAAAAATGTATGCACTCACTAACTGTAAGTCGCTCTGGATAAGAGCGTCTGCTAAATGACTAAAATGTAAAAGTTGTAAAAAATATAAATAGTAAAGTACTGATATCCCCAAAAACTACTTTAAAGTAGTATTTTAAAGTATTTTTACTTAAGTACTTTACACCACTGCAAGGATGCACTTTCATGCTAGGTTTAGGACCTCATATTGAAGCTTATAGAGACCCCAACAATCTTAAAATGATCTACTTTAGTTTTGATACACAATAAATTCATTTGACTTAGTGAAAATCCGTTTTTTGGACCTAACTTGCTTACCACTTTTTCCATGTGATTTCTTCCTTCACAGGCTCCATGAAATTACCTCTTCCTAAATATTTGGTGAAATTATTAATTTTGTGTATGGTTTCCTATTAACAAGAGTGGCTCAATGTATCCCTTTAGCTCAACTTACCCCACTCTCCCCTACAGTAAGCTTACCCACCATAATAATATGGTGGTAATAATAATATTAATATTATTTTATTTAACTAGGCAAGTCAGTTAAGAACAAATTCTTATTTACAATGACAGCCTGCCAAAAGGCAAAAAGGCCTCCTGCGGGGACGGTGGCTGGGATTAAAAATAAAAATATAGGACAATACACACATCACGACAAGAGAGACACCAGAACATTACATAAAGAGAGACCTAAGACAACAACATAGCATGGCAGCAACACATGACAACACAGCATGGTAGCAACACCACATGACAACAACATTGTAGCAACAACATGGCAGCAGCACAAAACATGGTACAAACATTAATATGCAGGGCACCCTTGTAACAATCTGTATTACATATAAAAGTAATTCCACCCACAAGCCTAGAAACATTCATATTTGCTTCCCCCAAAGGGTTCAAATAATCTTGGTCAAGTCAGCTATTTTTAGTGCACCTCCAAAAGTCAAGGTGTAATTTGAACCCTGTTCCGCTCACACTTGCAGCATCAAGTTGTATTGGTGGATAAAAAATGCTTGACACTGGCTAAATGTAGCTATGTACTGCATGATTCATAGAAACAATCATGCACAGCCAAAAAAACATCCCAAGTTCAAAATTAAGTAAAAAACTTCACTGCCCTAGTGGAAAGTCTGTACGGCTGTGTGATGTTGTATAACTGTGGTGTGCTTGTTTACCGTACATGTGAAGTGCAGTGTATGTTCATATTTGTGCATGGGTCTACCATTAAGGGATACATGTGGTCCTCTGTAGCTCAGCTGGTAGAGCACGGCGCTTGTAACGCCAAGGTAGTGGGTTCGATCCCCGGGACCACCCATACACAAAAAATTTATGCACGCATGACTGTAAGTCGCTTTGGATAAAAGCGTCTGCTAAATGGCATATTATTATTATATTATTATTAAATGAGTCCCTTTTCTGTAGTGTAAATTGGTGGGGAAAAAACACATTTTATTTCACCTAATTTTTATATTCTGTCATGACGAGCACATGCTCAACTTAATAAAAAAAAGGTTTTCCCATCTCAAGAGATACAATTTAAAAAATGACTATAGTAAGTGCCTATTATGTGCCAAATAAAGTAACAGGGTTGACTTTAAATTAGCCATAAATCCCCTTGTGACAGGGGAATGGAAGCTTCCCAGCTAGCACATTTGGTTCCTTGGAAGTTGTGGGAACGTATGTTTTTGGTTTTCCATTGGTTCTGGGAACGAAGCAATACGTTTCCTGACCGGTAAAACTGAGAAGAAAAAATATAGACGTTCTGAGGACGCAAGTGAAAATCTGCTGTTCTGGGAAAGTATTACTTTTAATAATACTGCTAGCTTAGTTTGGGTTAACTGTTTTGAACTCCAAGCACAGATAGGACACATGGAAATTAATTTGCTTTGGCATTAATCATGCAAACATTTATTTTTTGTGTTCTCTTTCCTTGGAATTAGTCCACTGCGCCACCAGGATGGAGCTAGCGTGCCATGTTTTTTAAACTCATACAAAGCTGTTCATTTTAGTCTATTCAAACAGGCCCCTTTTCAAAGGAAAAAAAGCACTCATTAGGATCAGGTGTGGCCAACTGACCTGAACACACTTACCAACATAAAGTTCAAGAGATGTGTTGAAGCTGAGAACGGAATATAGGTTTTTAAATAACATTCTTAGAATGTTCTTTGAACGTTACCAATGTTTTCTAGTGTTTTTTTATGGAAGTTTCTCAGCACATTACTTTAAATAGAACCATGAGGAAACCTGTAGGAAACCTTATGCTAAAGTAATGAAATTCCCACAGAAGAACGTTGTTTCTTAACGTTCTTGGAACAATTTGAGAACACTACTTTAAATAGAACCATGAGGAAATCTGTAGTAAACGTTATGCTGAAGTACTGAAATTCACACCTACAGTGCATTCGGAAAGTATTCAGACCCCTTCATTTTTCAAAATGTTGTTACATTACACCCTTATTCTAAAATTGATGAAATTATATATTTCTCATCAATCTACACACAGTACCTCATAAAAAACAGAAATATCTCATTTACATAATTATTCAGACCCTTTACTCAGTACTTTGTTGAAGCACCTTTGGCAGTGATTACAGCCTTGAGTCTTCTTGGGTATGACGCTACAAGCTTGGCACACCTGTATTTGGGGAGTTTCTCCCATTCTTCTCTGCAGATCCTCTCAAGCTCTGTCAGGTTGGATGGGGAGCGTCTCTGCACAGCTATTTTCAGGTCTCTCCAGAGATGTTCGATAGGGTTCAAGTCCCTCCAGATATGTTAGATCGGGTTCAAGTCCGGGCTCTGGCTGGGCCACACAAGGACATTCAGAGACTTGTCCCGAAGCCACTCCTGCGTTGTCTCAGCTGTGTGCTTAGGGTTTTTGTCCTGTTGGAAGGTGAACCTTCACCCCAGGTCCTGAATGCTCTGGAGCAGGTTTTCATCAAGGATCTCTCTGTACTTTGCTCCGTTCATCTTTGCCTCGATCCTGAATAGTCTCCCAGTCCCTGCCGCTGAAAAACATTCCCACAGCATGATGCTGCCACCACCATGCTTCACCGTAAGGATGGTGCCAGGTTTCCTCCAGACGTGACACTTGGCATTCAGGCCAAAGTGTTCAATCTTGGTTTCATCAGACCAGAGAATCTTGTTTCTCATGGTCTGAGAGTCCTTTAGGTGCCTTTTGGCAAACCTCAAGCGGGCTGTCATGTGCCTTTTACTGAGGAGTGGCTTCCGTCTGGACACTCTACCATGAAGGCCTGATTGGTGGAGTGTTGCAGAGATGGTTGTCCTTCTTGAAAGTTTTCCCATCTCCACAGAGGAACTCTGGAGCTCTGTCAGAGTGACCATCAGGTTCTTCTGACCAAGGCCCTTCTCCCCCGATGGCTCAGTTTGGCCGGGCGGCCAGCTCTAGGAAGAGTCTTGGTGGTTCCAAACTTCTTCCATTTAAGAATGATGGAGGCCACTGTGTTCTTGAGAACCTTCATCCCTGCATTTTTTGGTACCCTTCCCCAGATCTGTGCCTCGACTCAATCCTGTCTTGGAGCTCTACAGACAATTCCTTCGACCTCATGGCTTGGTTTTTGCTCTGACATGCACTGTCAACTGTGGGACCTTATATAGACAGGTGTGTCTTTCCAAATCATGTCCAATCAATTTAATTTACTACAGGTGGACTCCAAGTTGTAGAACATTTCAAGGATGATCAATGGAAACAGGATACACCTGAGCTCAATTTCGAGCCTCATACCAAAAGGTCTGAGTACTTAGGTAAATAAGGTATTTCAGTTTAATGTTTTATACATTTGCAAAAATTTATAAAAACCTGTTTTCACTTTGTCATTATGGGGTGTTGTGTGTAGATTGAGGAATTGTTTTTATTTTATCCATTTTAGAATAAGGCTGTAACGTAACAAAATGTGGAAAAAGTCAAGGGGTCTGAATACTTTCTGAGTGCACTGTAAGAAACATATGGTTCTCAGAACATAATGTGCTAGGCTAGCTGGATTGTTTTGTGCAACAGGGAGGGGCAACTGAATGGGAATCTATGGGTTTCTTAGAGCTTGGGAGGGGCAACTGTCTATCTATGGGTAACAGGGTTGACGTGTTATGCTCGACCCACTCAGTTTTACACCACAAAACACCAGAAAATTGCCAAAAAGAGTAGAAACAGCTCACCTGCTTTTACACAATGATTTGACAATTAGATGTTAAATGTTTCATTTAATTTATTTTAAAAATATATATTAAAACAAGAGTTTTTAGGGTTAAGTGGGTTCAAATCTTCCGAGAAGTCACAGTGCACAGAGGGACTGTCACAACTTCTGCCGAGGCTGCCACCCCTCCTTGTTCGGGCAGGCTTCGGCGTTCGTCGTCACCGGTTACTAGCCACTGCCGCTCCATATATCATCATTCCATTTGTCTTGTCTTGTCAATTAGTCTGTGTAGAAGTGTTCCCTCTGCCCCCTTGTCCTTGTGGGTGATTGTTTTATGTGAGTTGAGTGTAGCTCGGTGGAGCTACTCGTTCCTTGTATTGCTGGGGTAGATTGTTCCCCTGTGCCTGTATTTTGTTGTCGTGTGGTGTCGAGAAAACGTTGCTAATTATGCTTTGAGACCAAGGAAATCCGCTGACGCTGTACTTTGATTATAAAGGTTTATTATATCAGAGTATTTCAGCGTCAATTTACAGATATCTGAAGACATCTGGAGAATAACCGGACCCCAATCTGTAATATGTTATTCTGTCCTCCTTTGTTTTAACCAAGTATTTATATCCTATGCCCTATGTAACATAATATGGCTGTTTTCCCATACAGACCAATCCCAGGAGGCCACCTAACAGACTTCCTCGGCTTTAGGGTGCCCCTATAGAACTACTCCCCAGATGCTCCTTTTAAGCTTAGTCAACATCCTCTAAAACCATTTGAAACCATTAGCAAAGTCATAAATTCCTCAGATACCACATATTCCCCCCTTCGAGACGAATTAAGTCTCGAAAACAAAAAGAATAGGTTTATGACTAATAAAAAAAAATCTCTTATTGAGTAACTTTTACAATAAACCAAAAACACATTTTTCTATGGAGTGTAAATACATTTCTATGAAATATGAACAAATCTTTATGGAGTGTGAGAGCGAAAAACCAGTCTGGCAGCTTTCTTTCCAAATATCCATCAATCAATCAAGACAGTAAAATTCTCTCACAGCCCCTCTGCCCCAGGCAACCACTTAAGTACTCCAGATCAATTCTTACATCTTTATCAATGCATTTTAAACTATGATGCAATTTAAATACACATGAAAGCCTCAGCAAACAAAATACAATCAAATCTGTCCACATTCAGGCTGGTCAACCCATCGGACCCTCCTGTGGATTCTCTCTATCCCTGCCTAGACCCAATATCCCTAAGCATCCACAAAATAAACAAAAACATCTGGGATCCCCACATGTACCCAATAACAGCAAACATAATTCTTCAAAAATTAATACAAAAATAATATGACACAAATTATGTATTACACATACAAATATGTCTATATATCATTGCAGATACTGGAATGTAGTCCACTACACTTCATCTCCTCAGCAGTGTCGACTTCAAATTCATCGTCGATGATGGAATCTGAACATCTCCACACCTTCCTTGTTCCACTTCCTCCAGTCCCTTCATATTGTCCCTTCATATTGTCCTTGTTTGAGTATTTGAATCCCCTCTACACATTCCCCCATATGCTTCTGGAAGAAAAGAAAAGACCAAACAGTATCTTTTGCAAAACAACACATTCAAATTAAAACATCAATATCAACTAAAAATAATATATAAAATAATATATAAAATGAATCACATACCATTTACCCCATACCATTTCCCCCACTTCTTTATCCAGATAATCATCTGTGTTTATCTTCATAATTGCTCCTTGTGGTCAAAAATTATTCAACATAAGCTGAGTTGAACTTTCTTCAGTTGAAGACTCAACCATTCCTCTGAGTTCAATTCGGCAGCATTCTTGAAATACTTCAGCTGAGTTGAAATGGATATTCCAGAAGCCTCGCATCTGGCATTTTTTCCCCTTAAATTTCTTCCATATCTTAGCCTGCTTCAAAAAATCTTCACTGAGATTTCCAATCCAGAATACTGAAGACGAATCCATTTCTGTCATCATCAACAATTGGTAAACCTTCTCCTTTGGCACTTCTACCAGACAGCCGTCTGGTGTACATATTATTGTACAGTTCAATTTCCACAATGCATCTCTTCCCAACAATGCAATAGGTATATGTTCTGATACCAGTATGGGTATTTTAATTTTCTCATTTTCATAGCAGAGCTCAATTGGTTCCTTAAGAGTAATCAACTGTTTTACTCCCTCAAATCCCTATCCTAATTAGTTGATTTGACATAGTGAGATGTGTAACCTCTTCAGGCTGAACACAGATAAACCTTTCCACTATCCATCATCACTTCCCATAGTCCATTGTTTATTTTCACTTCAATTGTTGGATCTTTTTTCCTAACTGGTGCTACCAGCTGACACCCCCTTTCGGATCTTCTAGGCACCCCTAGAATCCTTGCTCCTTGTCCCTATAAGGGTTCACCTGTCCTCCAGATGATCTTCACTTGCTCCTGTATCTTCCTCTGAAATTCTCTCTTGTGTTTCCTTCTGGCCCATTACACTCACAGCAAAGTCACCAACCTGTCCACAATCATAACACACTTCTTAAGATTGCTGGAAGTATGGCTTAAATCTCCCTCCTCTTCCTCTTTCTAAGCCTTTTCATCCTCTTCCTCTCCAATTCTTTCAGTCAAGAAACTATCTATGGATATGAAACAACTTGTACCACTAGTTGTGGCTGGTACAATTGCATTTGACCTTGTTCAGTTGAAGCCGTGGCAGTGATTGTTGATTTGGTTCACACTGATTCTTCATAACCAAAGCTTTTCTTCTCCTTCTTATTCTCCCCCCGTTGTATTTCATCAAGTTTTCTGAGAGTTTCTTGGTCCTGTTCTTTCTAGTTGTTGACATATCGGTATTCTTCAAAGGCTTATATTCTAAGTTCTGTCCTCGAATGATCACTGGCATCATCTTCTTACTTGTGCTCTCTTTCCTTTCCTCAATGTATTATTCTTCTCCTCCAATTCTTGGGATCCTTTTCTCAGCAGTTTTTTCTTTTCTGTATCTTCAGCTTCTTGAGTTGTTCTTCCAGTTCTCGTTGTCTCTTCTAAATTATTCCCCTTATCCAGGCATAATACGCATCAGTCTATATCTCTTTCTATTTCTTCTTTACTAATCATTGTAGGATAAAATCCTCTTGAACATAAAGCACCTTTAATCTCCAAATCTTCATTGCTTTCTCCATCTTCACTTTCCTCAGAGATCGAATCTCTAGTATCCTTCTTCTTCCTCCAACTTCCTTCTAATCACAGAGTCATATCCACCCATGATCTCTTCTCAATCACTCTGATCATCATCATCTTCTTCATCTTCAAGTTCCATCTTCCTTAACCTCACTCCACCCTTAGTTTCCAGACATATTGTTTTCTTCTTACTTTTGGAGTTTTGGATTCATCTTTATGGTCGTTTCTGCTTCTCCTCTCTCTATTATTCAATCACTTTCATCATGTTGATGATGTCAGGGTTAAAAGTCCCTTCCACTAGCCATGGTTGTTCAATGTCATGCCAACGTTTATTCCCTTTTCCAGATAACCTTGCAATACCATTAACTAAAGGATTACTATTTTGTACTACATCAACAGGAGTAATTACTTTCATCGTTTTTATGTCCTTTTTCCCCCTTGTAACAACTCTTTTATATTCCTTTATTGTAAATTATTTCATTATTTTAGACTATATAGCCTATAGTTCCCTCTTTTTTTCCTTCCCCAAACTAATTAATTAATCAATTAATTTATTCATTTATTCATCAATTTACTTATTTATTCATTTTATTTTATTTTACCAAATTATTGATTAGTGGCAATCTTACCACATCCAATCAGGAAAGTAAATGAAAGTAGTCACCTTAGAGCAACCCAAAAAATAAAGACCTATAATCCTGCAACACTACAGTACTCACAAACCCCTTGCTTAATAAGCACCCAATTACCTTAGTTTTACAGAATAATGTCAGTACTCGATTTCCCCTCATCTCTAATCAAACCCACTCATGCACAAAAACTCAAATGCAATTCTTAATTACATCCATTGATCAGTCTGTTGCCAAGGTTTTGTCAAATTGTCATAACATCAAATATGCTAGGCAACCAAAATATCCTCTATGGGAAGGTACGTTTTGTAAATAGAACAGTACTGGCCTTGATTTGACTTGATCCTGTTGCAGCACATTCTGTCGCATCCTCCTCCTTCTCGTCTCTCATATGACAAAAGAACAAAGAAACAGACAATAATTTAGTAGTTTATGCACTCACTGAGTTATTTCAACCATTCAATATTCCTCTAGTCATACTCGCTCTGAGAAATAAGCAAACAACTTAACTCAAGAATAGTATAAATAGCTCAATAACATTTTATTTTATTTATTTTTAATCCGTCAACATCTCTCTCTCATTTATCAATTCAATAGATCTCAAATAGTTTCATCGTTAACCAAAAGCCTATTTAACAAAAAGAACATTCCATTCGTGTTCAAATCCCCCACTCCTCTCTGTCTGCTCTGCTCTGAGTCTGCGTCTCCCAGCAACTCAGTGCAGGCAGAGGAGTGGCACATTTGCTCTTACGTAACTCTAAAGTCATAAAATCACACGCATGCGTAGTACATTCACCAGTGCGATTTCAGAGTGGAGAGGGCTCTCTCCCAGCTCTCTCCCAGCCTAAACAACAGAAAGTAGACAGTCCCGCTGTACTTCCTCTCTTTTACCCCCCCATAGACAAACAGTAACACTTTAACAGAGCTCACAAACCAACATAAAACATTGAACACAAATCCTACTTTCTTCTACACACATACACATACATACATACAGTTTAAGAGGCTTATCCCATTCCTATGGACCCCTAAGGCAGTATGCTACCTCCATTGCGCCGTATAATTCCATTGTTCCTAAATTTCTGCTACCACGAGTTCCGCGGACATCCGATGAGCGGTCACATCAATCATATAATTCGTCAACCATACGTTGAGCGGTAACTTGCAACCGAATATATATATATATATATATATATATATATATATATATATATACCACAACCTCAAGCCCCCTAGGACTTACCTAAATACACCTGACGTGCTTTTAGGATTTTCGGCCCATCCTAATGATCGCCTCCTTAGAGGGCTTCCATAGATTCGCAATGGCCTAATTTGTATACATTTACCTTAGTTCCTGGCCTTATTCCTTCATTGTATTCTTTTTGAATTTTATTCAAGCAAAATATCCCTATAGACACTCCCCCCTTTTTGCGTTGCTTTCAACGCAAACAAATTTAGAACAGACTCCTATCCCACAGCAAATAACAGCAAAGCACACACGCAAGTTCTTAACGGTGCATTCATTCAACGCACACACACAGACACACGAACTGACCAGTGCCCAAAGTAGTGAGAAAACTCACCCTTATCTGCCGGACTCTGGAGCGAAAGTCAGCTCGGCGCCCATGAATGGAACGCTGGGAAAAGATGCAACACGACCAAATACCTCGTCGCCATTTTGTGGTGTCGAGAAAACGTTGCTAATTATGCTGTGAGACCAAGGAAATCCGCTGACACTGTACTTTGATTATAAAGGTTTATTATATCAGAGTATTTCAGCGTCAATTTACAGATATCTGCAGACATCTGGAGAATAACCGGACCCCAATCTGTAATATGTTATTCTGTCCTCCTTTGTTTTAACCAAGTATTTATATCCTATGCCCTATGTAACATAATATGGGTGTTTTCCTATACAGACCAATCCCAGGAGGCCACCTAACAGACTTCCTCGGCTTTAGGGTGCCCCTATAGAACTACTCCCCAGATGCTCCCTTTAAGCTTTGTCAACATCCTCTAAAACCATTTGAAACCATTAGCAAAGTCATAAATTCCTCAGATACCACAGTCGCTATCCAGCGCTATCCAACTGTGTACGACGGAATAAACTCTGTATTCGGTGATTTACCCCCCTGCGCCTGACTCCTTCTAATCACACTCATCACAGGGACATACATTTTGGCAATTAAGCATGTCATTATTCATATACAAATCTGATTTATTGAATTTTCCATGTGGTCTATATTAAAGGGCACTTCATTTATTATAGCAGGCTTTTAAAATCCAATATTGGTGCACAATATCTACTTAAAATATCATTTCGTGGAACGACCCGCATTAGAGAATGATATACTGTATATATTTTCTGACATTTATCCATTCCCTCTCCAGAATATGACTCTGCACTGCCACCATTGTGCCCTGGTGACCAGCTCCAGCCACGTGCTGGGTAGCAGGGCCGGACCGGAAATCGACCGCACCCAGTGCGTGATCCGCATGAACGACGCCCCCACCACAGGGTTCGAGCGTGACGTGGGCAACCGGACCACTCTCAGAGTGGTGGCCCACTCCAGCGTGTTCAGGGTGGTCAGGCGGCCCACCGAGTTTCTCAACCGCACGGATCATAGAGCAAACTCTACAGTCATATTCTGGGGACCGCCCACCAAGATTGGTAGAGAGGCTAAAGGAACGCTGTACCGTCTGATCCAGAGAGTGAGCATGACCTACAGTAACCTGTCCAGCTTCACAATCACGCCCAGCAAGATGCACAAGTTTGATACGCTCTTTCAGAAAGAGACGGGGCGAGACAGGTGGGTAACAGGGATGAAGGTGGGAATGGGGACAGAACAATGGTGATAATGCTACATTAATTCAATTCAGTTTAAAATCATGAAATTCCAATTCAAAATGGAATTCAGCTTAAATAATGAATGCAAATTCTAATTACATTTCTTAGTGATGATGATCACAATATGGGGATTTTCCTGGAATCTAATGAAAGAAATGCCCCTATCAAGAAATACAAATGCTCTTATTAATTACATTTTTTTTCCTCAAACATTTTATCCTACGGTTTCCTTCCAAAGAGCGAAGTCTCAGTCCTGGTTGAGCACCGGTTGGTTCACCATGGTGATCGCTATAGAGATGTGTGACAATATTAAAGTGTACGGGATGGTTCCACCCAGTCACTGTGGGTGAGTATGAACAAGGTTAAACAATGATAAATCACTAATAGCAATCTATCAAGCACTTAAATCAAGCTATTACATTGTGTAATCATAAATTTGTTCAGTGAGCAAATAGTTAATCTATAATACTGATTATTATGAAACTATTGTCTGCAATTGACAGGATTGCTTGTACGCAATGTAACATTATGTATTATGATTGTGTTTCAATGAAAGAAGCATGACGAAGACTTTTGGGTTGAAACGTTGCACTATAAAACAGCGAGGGGAGCATTCGACAATGTGCGGGTATCTATCTTTCTTGTCTACGAAGGAGCCATAGTTATTGCTACCCATTATGTATGCTGGTTGTCTTGCAGCACATTGTCAATGCAATCATTTGTTACGCCCCTTCTCCCAGAAAAAAGCCCCAGCCCAAGAAGATGCCCTACCACTACTACAAGCCCAGGGGCCCAGAAGAGTGTGTCACCTACCTGCAGAACGAGAAGGGCCGAAAGGGGCCCCACCATCGGTTCATCACGGAGAAGCAGGTGTTTGCACATTGGGCCAAGAAGTATAATATCACCTTCACTCACCCCATATGGTGAGGTGACTGGTTCCTCTCACAAGGTGTGCCCCCTTCTCTGAATGGTAGTCATTTTTCTTGGGAATTACTGTGGCTCTGTGTTGACTAAGTATTTCTTTCACATATGAAGCTGTGAGCTTGGTTTGGAACCAGTAATATAAATTAGAAATGTGTTTTTTCTTTTACAAAGCTATCTATAAAAGTGTAAAATCTAAGTTTTACAGGAGTTAATAATGTATTGTATGTGTACAGCAAGGCAGTGCGCAGAGGGCAACTGATGTTTATTGTAAATAGAAACAAAATGAATTATTTAAAAAAGTATTTTTACATGTTTATAATGTTTGTTAAAAAAAAAGTCCTCAAACGCAAATGTTATAATACAAGATAATATCATCTTTCCCATACTGAGGGGAGATTGTATTATCCAAGAAGTTAAAGGAATTAATTTCAGAGACATATGCTTATAGACAGTATGGCTAAAATTAAGTGACATGTCGTTTGTTGCATTACGTTATCCAATCAAACCTTGTGTGGCTTACACTTAACGCAGTAAAAATACCAACATCAGAACACTTTAAGCTTACATTTATAGCACTGTAGGTTGGCTCGTGCCAACCCAATGGAATTATAACATGCCTGTTGAATGTAGGGGTGTGTGAGGTTAAGGCATTCACTCAACTGTGCTGTGTTGGATGCAGAGTTTGTTCTATCCTGTCAAACCATGACACGGACAAACATTGTCTCGTCATGTTTGACCCTTTACCTCTGACATCCCGAAGGATGCAGCTGTCAGTTTGAATGATCCAAAATAATGTATTGCTAGCATTGTGCTGATAGACTTGTTATTCTTCATGAATGTTCTGTAATGTGTGTCTTGAGAACAAATAACATTTGAAAACCGATGCATGTACATGACGTTTAATTTCGCATGGAATCCTATACACGGGACAGTAGAAACATAAGACAAAAGGGTAACAGTGGATATAGATTGAACACACCTACCGACTAGATACAAAAGACAAGGAGCACCATCAAGGATGATGTCTCATGACCAAGACATTTGGTTCTTTACTTGTGCTGTGATCTTTCTAGCCTTGAATAAAAAATGCTGATAGCACAGAATGTCCATTCATTCGATCCCAGAAGTATATAAAAGGTGTGAATTATTAGTCCTTTTGACTTCCTCTCAGTGATGGTTTGTCAGCGGCCACTTCCTGTTACGAACCATTGGCCGCGGCTGCGATTTTCTGCCTCTGGCTGGACATCGAGATCAAGATGGCCTCCTGTGAAAGACGCACGGGGTGGATCAGAGAAACAGTATAGACAGGTCAGGTTGAACTCCCAGCTGATATAATGAAAGATAACGGGCCCTGAGTTTTTCCTTACCATGTATGGAAACAATGGTCCATTGCCAGTGTTTTACCTGGTCTGGAAAAACTGACCTACAGCAGATGCATGTAATATAATATGCCATTTAGCAGACACTTTTATTTAAAGCGACTCAGTCATGACATCAGTCACTACATTTTACGTATGGGTGGTGCCTGGAATCTAACCCACTATACTGGCATTGCAAGTGCCATGTTCTACCAACTGAGCTAAAAAGGACCATGTGATGGACAGTTTGCTATCCTCAGTCTTCCCCCTTCTACACGCTCTTCTCTCGGTTCTCCACGCACCTTTGTGCATATGGTCCTGCTGCCTTGGTTGGGGCAAGTGTTGAGGTACAGGTCAAACAGAACACTGGAGTCAGTCAACTCCAGGTTCTGATCACCATCCACACTGGCCTCCAAACCCTGCAGACCACCAAACACAACCAATGTGGAGGAGGGAAAGAAAGAGTGCAACAAAACAAAGTTAAGCCATAGAAAATTAGCATGATGTTATCTACAATATAAGATAAACAGGGCTTCCACCTTATTGTGTTTTGTAGTTCTTACCTCATACTCTGAACTTACTTCAATGGAGAAAGAGGGGTTTTGTCAACGTCGCCGCCTTTCTCTGATGTCCCAATGGTCAGGTCATACACTTGTAAACGTGAGATTTATCAAAATAAATAAATGAAAATCGAATTGAATGAAAATCTCAGGCTTATCTATACTGAACAAAAATATAAATGCAACATGTAAAGTGTTGGTCCCTTGTTTTATGAGCTGAAATAAAATATCCCAGAAATGTTCCATACGCACAAAAATGCTTATTTCTCTAAAATGTTGTGCACAAATGTTTTTACATTCCTGTCAGTGAGCATTTCTCCTTTGCCAAAATAATCCATCCACCTGACAGGTGTGACATATCAAGAAGCTGATTAAACAGCATGATCATTACACAGGTGCACCTTGTGCTGGGAACAATAAAAGGCCACATAAATGTGCAGTTTTGTCACACAATAATGCCACTGATGTCTCAAGTTGAGGGAGCGTGCAATTGGCATGCTGACTGCAAGAATGTCCAACAGAGCTGTTGCCAGAGAATTGAATGTTCATTTCTCTACCATAAGCCGCCTCCAACGTCATTTTAGAGAATTTGTCAGAACATCCAACCAGCCTTACAACCACAGACCACGTGTAACTACGCCAGCCCAGGACCTCCACATCCGTCTTCTTCACCTGCGGGATCGACTGAGGAGGGGGATGGGGGGTGCTGAGGAGTGTTTCTGTCTGTAGTAAAGCCCGTTTGTGGGGAAAAGCTCATTCTGATTGGCTGGGCCTGGCTCCCCAGTGGGTGGGCCTATGTCCTCCCGCGCCCCTGCCCAGCCATGTGAAATCCATAGATTAGGGCCTAATGAATTTATTTAAATTGACTGATTTCCTTCTATGAACTGTAACTCAGTAAAATCTTTGAAATTGTTGCATTTATATTTTTGCTCAGTATAATTGAAAATAATGGCTAGAGTTGTGGAGGATATGTACAGTGGGGTCAGAAATGATTGACACCCTTGATAAAGATGAGCAAAAATGACTGTATAAAATAAATCAATTCACCTCCCGAGTGGCGCAGTGGTCTAAGGCAGTGCTAGCTGTGCCACTAGAGATCCTGGTTCGAATCCAGGCTCTGTCGTAGCCGGCCGCGACCGGGAGACCCATGGGGCGGCGCACAATTGGCCCAGCGTCGTCCAGGGTAGGGGAGGGAATGGCCGGCAGGGATGTAGCTCAGTTGGTAGAGCATGGTATTTGCAACGCCAGGGTTGTGGGTTCGATTCCAGTATAAAAAATAAAAATGTATGCACTCACTAACTGTAAGTCGCTCTGGATAAGAGCGTCTGCTAAATTACTAAAATGTAAATGTAAATACTGAGCTATATTGTATGCTCCCAAAAAATTGGGAAATTATATTATTTTATACTAATATAATTGCTCAGAGAATAATATTGTTTAACAAGTAATCTTTTTTTCTCTCAAAAAGATAGGGGTCAAACTTATTGACAACCCTGTTGTTAATACCTTACCTTGCAAGGATAATGGCACTGAGCACATTGGACGGGATCTCAGACCTTTTGGGATAGAAAACGTTCATTATATCATTGGGAAAACCAGGAATGGAGATGGATACACAGCTACTCACTCACCGGCATAGTGTAGATCTTTATGCATTGGGAAGAATGATTTGCAGATACCTTGGAAATAAGACAAAAGGAAAAGGATCAAAACCATTGTCAAAGACTGCAACTGCATTTGATAGTCTCCTCATACAGTGCATTCAGAAAGTATTCAGACCCCTTCACTTTTTCCACATTTTGTTACGTTACAGCCTTATTCTAAAATTGATTAAAATGTTTTTTCCCCTCAATCTACACACAATACCCCACAATGACAAAGCAAAAACAGGTTTTGAATTTTTTTGAAAATTTTTGCAAATGTATTAAAACTAAAAAAACGGAAATATCACATTTACATGAGTATACAGACCCTTTACTCAGTACTTTGTTGAAGCGCCTTTGGCAGCGATTACAGCCTTGAGTCTTCTTAGGTATGACGCTACAAGCTTGGCACACCTGTATTTGGGGAGTTTCTCCCATTCTTCTCTGTAGATCCTCTCAAACTCTGTCAGGTTGGATGGGGAGCGTCTCTGCACAGCTATTTTCAGGTCTCTCCAGATATGTTAGATCGGGTTCAAGTCCGGGCTCTGGCTGGGCCACTCAAGGACATTCAGAGACTTGTACCAAAGCCACTCCTGCGTTGTCTTGGCTGTGTGCTTAGGGTCGTTGTCCTGTTGGATTGTGAACCTTCGCCCCAGTCTGAGGTCCTAAGCGCTCTGGAGCAGGTTTTCGTCAAGGATCTCTCTGTACTTTGCTCCATTAATCTTTCCCTCGATCCTGACTAGTCTCCCAGTCCCTCCCGCTGAACAACATCCCCACAGCATGACGCTGCCACCACCATGCTTCACCGTAGGGATGGTGCCAGGTTTCCACCAGACTTGACGCTTGGCATTCAGGCCAAATAGTTCAATCTTGGTTTTATCAGACCAGATAATCTTGTTTCTCATGGTCTGAGAGTCGTTTATGTGCCTTTTGGCAAACTCCAAGCGGGCTGTCATGTGCCTTTTACTGAGGAGTGGCCTCTGTCTGGCCACTCTACCATAAAGGCCTGATTGGTGGAGTGCTGCAGAGATGGTTGTCCTTCTGGAAGGTTCTACCATCTCCAGAGGAACTCTGGAGCTCTGTCAGAGTGACCATCGGGTTCTAGGTCACTTCCCTGAACAAGGCCCTTCTACCCTGATTGCTCAGTTTGGCTGGGCGGCCAGCTCTAGGAAGAGTCTTGGTGGTTCCAAACTTCTACCATTTAAGAATGATGGAGGCCACTGTGTTCTTGGGGCCCTTCAATGCTGCAGACATGTTTTGGTACCCTTCCCCAGATCTGTGCCTTGACACAATCCTGAACTCAATTTTGAGTGTCATAGTAAAGGGTCTGAATACTTATGTAAATAAGGTATTTCTGTATTTAAAAAAGATAGTTGCAAAAATGTCTAAAAACCTGTTTTCGCTTTGTCATTATGGGTTTATTGTGTGTAGATTGATGATTTCTTTCTTTAATCAATTTTAGAATAAGGCTGTAACGTAACAAAATGTGGAAAAGGTGAAGGGGTCTGAATACTTTCCAAATGCACTGTAGGTCCCTGCTACTCATTGTGGGCATTCCAGGAACTGGAGGATTCTAGCCAGTTGAATGCAGGCTTGACCTTTCTTGCAGACACTGTTGAATTCTCCCTCAACAGTCTTGTGAAATAAAAACAACATGAAGGTCTTACTGTCAAGACCTAATATCTAAAACCGCATCAAACTAATAAAGACATGAGCCTAAAATAAGATGCTCAGAAACGGAGGTCTTACTTGACATCCTCCTCTTGTTCGTCAAACACGATGATCTCATCGACACAGAACACAACACAGACTCTGGCTATCTGTCCAGCCAGGTACGTGCGGAATTCAGTGGACTAGGCGCATTGTCCAGTACAGAACCGGGTAGGGCAACGCTCACTGTGTATGGTCGTCCTACGGGTTACAAATATTCAAAACATAATCCTACATTATTTATATGAAAGGCAATGCGACCAAATACTAATTGAGTGTATGTAAACTTCTGACCCACTGGGAATGTGATGAAAGAAATTAAAGCTGAAATAGATCATTCTCTCAACTATTATTCTGACATTTCACATTCTTAAAATAAAGTGGTGATCCTAACTGACCTAAGACAGGGAATCTTTACTAGGATTAATTGTCAGAAATTGTGAAAAACTGAGTTTAAATGTATTTGGCTAAGGTGTATGTAAACTTCTGACTTCAACTGTATATATATTTTTAGGGTGTAGATCAGCTTTAATATTGCAGATAGATTGTGGCTTCCATCAATGTAATTGTCTGCATCATTTCCAATCCCCCGTATATTTTTTTGTAAATATATATATTTTTCTTCATTATTTTCCCCTAACCCTATCATCCCTCCCCTAATTGGAGTAAACTAATGGACAACAACACTTACATTTACATTTTAGTCATTTAGCAGACGCTCTTATCCAGAGCGACTTACAGTTAGTGAATACATATATATATTTTTTTGTCTTTTTTTTTTCAAACTGGTCCCCCGTGGGAATCGAACCCACAACCCTGGCGTTGCAAACGCCATGCTCTATCAACTGAGCTACATCCCTGCCGGCCATTCCCTCCCCTACCCTGGACAACGCTAGGCCAATTGTGCACCGCCCATGAGTCTCCCAGTCGCGGCCGGCTGCGACAGAGCCTGGATTCGAACCAGGATCTCTAGTGGCACAGCTAGCACTGCGATGCAGTGCCTTAGACCACTGCGCCACTCAGGAGACTTAGGCTTCTACTTCCAGCTTATACATACTATATACATTTGACGGACTCAGTATATTTTACAATAGTTATCTTTTGTTTGTTTTTAGTCCCATCCTTCAGCTCCACTCAACCCCTCCCATCTATCTCTGAACACCATCCAGTTTTGATTTCTATTTGCCATATATTTTTCAACTGTGCTGTGATGTTTCACAAAAGTTCTGAACCTTTCTATTATCATAGATTCTACATATTGTAAATTACAAATAAACATTTTTGCTAAGAGTATTATTATATTATTGATCGCTTGACTATGACTTTTTTAATCACCCAGCAGTGCTATTTGCAGAGGGGGACATAACTTGGCAGTGGGTCTGGGGGCCCTCCCATTTTGGGGGGCATCTAAAGCACATTTCCTTCATTTCTACACAATCTAATATGACCCATGGCCCTTCTAGCCGTCTCTATTTAGAACAACAAAAAGTAAGCAGAAATCATCAAGCTAGGTAAGAGATTATTAAATATGTTTAAATGATTGATAAGACTGAACTAGTTCCATGATAATTCAATAATCAATATTGTGTTGCACCTTTAACCAATAGCCTAACAAATGAACAACTCTTACAAATAAAGTACAAATTGTCTTTAAGACATCCTCTACATCAGGGCTGCCCAACCCTCTTCCTGGAGATCTACCGTCCTGTGGGTTTTCAGTCCAACCCTAATTTAACACACCTGATTCTACTTATTAGCTGCTCAACAAGACCTTAACTAGCTGAATCAGATATGCTAAATTACGGTTGGAATGAAAACCTACAGGACAGTAGATCTCCAGGAAGAGGGTTGGGCAGCCCTGCTCTACATCAAATTTCAGCCAGACCGCCCAGTCAACCCGAGCCGCCTACACACCCGACCCCCACCAGTCTAGTCAATAACTAAACTCTCTCCCCAACACAACTTCCTTCCCATCTTTTTTAATGTGTCAAGGGAAAGGTTTGGAAAACAAAAGTTGAATGAAAACACACATACACATTAACACACAGAAACAGCACACCCTCCATATAATTAACATCATAGGCCTAATAGTACTGTAGAGCTCTTTTTAATTGCACACAATATAGCTGGGTCACCCCGTCGTGCCCCTAGGTACCCACAGCCCTGTAGCGCCCCAACCCAACACACCCCTCTCAGCTTTAGTATCTTAGTGAAACATTAATTATTGGTTTCAGGTGTGTTAGGCCAAGGCCAGAGTCCCCCAGGGCCAGAACTGAGCAGCCCAGCAGCTAGGAATTGCCTACATCTCCCCTGACGTGGGCATGTTTTCAATACAGACTCCTTTTGTCGTTCAGTATTTCATATAAGGCATCCAGACCTTATGAATGTCGCACAGTATACCCTTAATCTTAAAACAAATCTAGTGATACTGTATTTAACTTGACATTTCTTCCTTACATTGTGGGAGGATAACCAACCTTCCAATTAATGACAATGCATTTATTAGCCACTATAAATGCTAGGTTACACAGTTTATTCTGATAACAGTCTCCAGTATCAACATTTCCAAGCAAATAAAAAAAGGGAGAAGGGAGAATCTGTAGACATGCTGAGATAAAATAACACAATCTTTGCCATAATTCAGCCAGCCTTCACAAGACCACAACATTTGCAAATATGTCCCCTTTTGTGCTTTACACCTCCAGCAGAATAATACAATTTCTGAGTGCATGATTTTCAGTTTCACTGGCATATAGTATGTTCTATGGATGGTCTTAAACTGCATTAATTTATGTCTGAGATTATATGAGCATGACTGGGCATTCTGACATATCTATATCCAGTCATCATCATCAATAGCGTCTCCCAGGTCTTCCTCATATTTTTGTTTTTACATGTTTTTGTCATCGGGAAAAGCCTCTATCAACCCTTGATACAGTCTGGAAATCATCTTTAGAGGTTTGTCAGACTGCGTTAAAATAGCATCTGGCTTGTCCAGTGTTTGCTGGACAGAGAGAATAAAGTGTTGTATCTGCAAAAATGTACCTCACCTCTGTCACAGACTGGTCTTCCCTGGCTGCCTGACTCTGCTGAGACCCTGTCACCATCTGATCCTCCTAAAATGAGGCATGACAAAGAATTACCTTGGTGTACATTTATACATGATATTATCCAAGAATAGAATCGATGGTTCAATAATTGAAATGACCATTATTCCCAGATCCCATACTGTAGCTTTAAGCTTAAGCTTCTGTCCTGTAGCTACTGTAGGTCTACACATCAAGTCAAGATGGAACTTTGTATTAATCACTGAATATACTGCAAAATTCACCTGAGCTCAGTAGACTGGTCTTCCCTGGCTGTCTGACCCTGCTGGGACCCCTGTCACCATCTGATCCTGCTAAGACATGATTAGTACTAGAGGGATGCGTTCCCGCAGGATGCCTGCAGGACCCGACAGAGATCATTGCTGCACAGGTCTGCATTTTTTCATGCTGCAGGCGGGAGCGGGCTGTCAGACAGATACAAACCCCCCAATAAATCAATTTTAATTCCAGGTTGTAAGGCAGCAAAAAAGGAAAAATGCCAAGGGGGGTGAATACTTTCGCAAGCCACTGTATGTGTGGTCTCATTGAAATAGATTAGGCTGCCTACATGGGCGGAGAATCACGTGGCAGTTAGACTGATTAGACTGTAGTTTACTACGGTGTCTGTAAATATATATTGATAATGAAAAGAACTGGAGGGCGCTCAACCAATGTGAGTCAAAGTGCAATCAAAAATTTTTATCATAATTTAAAAGGAAAAGGCACAATGCGCACATAGGATAGCCTACTACGGTGAGTGAGCTTTGCACCTTTTCATTTTCAATAAGTATTGATACCCATTTATTTGTCTCTGCCTGCAAATTGTCCGCCTAAAAGTTAGGCTAAATCCTATAGGACTATACAAAACGTAGCAAGTGTTGCTGTCATCATTCTTGCTGCCTCCAGTTCAATAGCCATACCTGCAAGATCAGGTGAGCATGTGTTCTTAATTAAATAGAGTAGGCTTTGTATACATGAAATAAAATTGTATTGGTCAATTACACGTGTTTAGCAGATGTTATTGTGGGTGTAACGAAATGCTTGTGCTTCTAGCTCCGACAGTGCAGTAATATCTAACAGGTAATATCTAACAATTTCACAACATATACCCAATAGACACAAATCTAAGTAAGGAATTAATTAAGAATATATACACATATGGACAAGCGATGTTAGAGCGGCATGGACTAAGATACAGTAGAGTAGTATAGAATAAAGTATATACATTATGTGGACACTGGGCAAAATACTATGCCACAATATAGTAGTATAGCATAGTATATATAGTATAGCATAGCAGTATAGCTCAAACAAAACAACATGTAATAATGTCCAGCAATTAACCAGTCTGTTTTCCACATCCCTCAGTTTGACACTCCTGCCCCTCCCTCTACACTTGAGCCTTCTTCAGATGCTCTGGCAGCACGCAGCCCCTCTTCCTGGCCCGGTCCTCCTTCTTCTCCACTTTGCCCTTGTTGTTCTTCTGGATGTTTCTGCCGCCTCTGCATCTTCTCCACCACCGTCTCGCTGCGCTCCGTCCACTTCTTCTGCTGCGAGCGCATCTTCTCCTTCCTCTTGAACGAGGCCCTCAGCAGGTCCTCGTCATCCTTGATCTTCAGGCCCTCGGCCTTGTACAGCACGTTGGTCCACTTCATCTTCTCCTCCTGCACCTTGGCCTTGCCCTCGTCCTTCTCCCGCAGCTCCTCCAGCTTTGCCTTGCATGCCTCCACGCGCCCCAGCAGCTGCTTAAAGTTCTTGCCCACCAGCGGCGTGAGGCCGCATTTTATCCGGTTATTTTTCTCCTTCTGCTCTTTATCCAAGAAAGCCGCCGTCACCCAGCTCCACCTTGTTGAACACAATGGCCGTCTCGTCCCTCTTGCCCGTGGCTGGTGTGGTGGGAGGAGAAGGGGCTTCTTCCATTTTGATCTCTGGCTCGTATTCCAGGCCGGCTTTTTCTGCAAGGTTTTTTTTGCGGAACACTTTGCGCTTCATCTTCTTGCGCTCCCTTTCCTTCTTTCGCTAATTCTGCCCTTCCTCAGAGGATGGGTCCTTAGGTGTTCCCTATGGGAAGAAAAGAGGATGTAAGGTTAGTTATAGGCTATACAGAATAATGTGCTCTGCCAAGTTGACAGGCAGCTGTTGGTCAGTGATAGGACAACTACTGTGTAGCCACTGAACACAACCCCTTAAAAAACCTAATACATACCTGCCCACGAGACTCCTCAATCTTTTCACGAAGTCTCTGACGTAGAATATCTACCGTGGAGAATTTAGTGCCCGGCTTTCCACCTTCAATGTCTCTGATGTGGCTATTACACCATTAAAATAACACCATATACAATACCTAGTCAAAATACAGAGAGAGGACAGGCAAGTATCACCAGTAGATGCTAGGAAGTTGAGCATCATTTGAGGAGGACTGGACATCTCAAGATTTAACTTTACCTTTGGGCTTCTGTTTTGTCTCAACCTCTGTCCCATTTGGAACTGAAGCTTTTGGGGTATTCTGTTCTGTTGCACCAGGTGCTTTCTGTGCTGGCGTCATGAAAGGCTTCTGGTTAGGCTCTAAAGGTGGCTTCTGGTGTTTGGTTGGGTTGCTGTTCCCATTGATCTGTTTCCATACCTGCCAACTTTTCAAAAAACCTTGGAGTGAGATTTTGTCCTGGGTCCTGCAGTCGGTAAAAAGCAATTGCACTGCCTGCGTCTCAGAACTGCGGTCGCCTTGATCTCATGAGGTAATCGTTGCCCACGTGTGCATGACGTCAGAGAAAGTCGGGATCAAGTCGGACACAAATCTAACCAGCATGCATTGGGCGGTGATCGCCAGTGATCGATTCTGCGCAGACCTGGCTCATCTCAAATGAGCCTCTTGTCTATGATCTGTCGGCATGGTTATACTGGCCTGTGGCCTTCTTGGAGGCCTTGATGATATCGGAGGGGGGCTCCCATTTGAAGCAGGGCTCCAGATTGGCCATCTTTATGGTCATTATTGAGGACAGGGTGCCATCCAATGCTAGGCTGTTTCTTCTCTTGGTTTTCTTCAGTCCCACAACTGAAAACACCCTCTCAGCATCTGCATTTGCATGGGGCAACACCAGGACAAGCTTGGCGACGGCAGCAAGCCTCTCAAATTCTTTGGCTCCTGTCACCTATGGAAAATGCACCAAAACACAATGGAAAAACATACCTTGATTTTTGATTGATTAATACTGTAAGTATACTGTAGGTTGATCCATTAACAAAGTTCAGAGAAAAACATGCATAATTTGCAACATGCATGACACATATGCATGCAACAATTTTAAGCAACAGATGTAGCCAAGCCACACCTGCCAAAAGGAAAGACAAAAAATGAAAAATGTTTACCTTATGCTTCCGGGTTGCCATTTCAGCCCAGAAGCTTTCCATTTCAGTTTCGTCCTGCAGGGATATCATTGGCATGGTCTGATAATTTAGAAACTCCTCACCCAGAAGGTCATGCTCCTCTGCCCCATGGTATGGCAGGAGATGGGGAAACCTATTTATGAAAGTACAGTTACAAGTTGTTACGTTTTAGTTATATAGTCATCAACCAGCAGCAGTTCATACACATCTTTGAGGAGAAGCCACATAAGAATATCTCATGTGCAGTTTAGGAGTGAACACACCTCATCATAAAACACAGGGTATTTTAGCTAAGATAACAGACAATAATTAGAGAAAAAAAACTAACCTTTCAACAAAGTACAGGACATCTTCGATGTCACTTTCAGCCCTCTGCCGTACATCTACAAATTGTGCGTGCTTGATCAGTGGCTCTTCCAGTGGCAGCTTCTTAAGTGCATAGTCCACAGCACTTGTCAGGAAACACAACACAGCTTCATGGAATGAATCCACCTGCTGTGGTGTGATGTCACCCTCGTCGAGTAATCTGTTAAGTTTAGCCCTGGTTGTGAACCTAATGTTCAACTTTCTTCCTGTCACAGATACAGCATATCGGTATAAGGTACAAGGCTAAATATCACATATCACAGTGTTTGATCATAATAATAGTCAAATACTAACCTGGTAAATGGTTTGCCTTTTCTTTAAAGGCAATTTCACAAGGCTCCTCATGGCACTGCAGAGCTGCTGGAACCATAAACTTGGAACATAGCTTGCGTACGAATTTCACCATCTATAACAGACATTTACAAAAATAGTAGGTGAAACCTGTTTTAGAGGATCCCTGCAGATATCAGCAAGAAACACAAAATGGAAAAGAAACTGCAAAATCCAATCCCCCCTCATCATGTAACAAAAATATTGATGACTGCTCTCTCTGAAGCAGCAAGTTGAAAGAAGTGAAAGTTGGTACGGTGGCTTGGAAGAACAGCAGGTACACTTCTGTCATGGGGTCAGTGAATGTCTGCACAAGTCTACTTTTATTGCACACATTTCCTGTATTTATGTTAAATTCTTTGGAATACATCTTACCTGTTCGAAATCAGCTGAGTTTACATTCACCACACTAAATCATGTTCACACGCACAAACAAATCATTTCTTTCAAGATTTAAAGTTTAAGAGAGTGAGTACTCAATTGGACGACATTTCATTGTTACATACTGTTAAGTTGCGTCAATTCAAATCTGGTATTGGGAACAAAAGATATCAACACGACTTCTAAGATATACTAGTATTTTAATTAATGCAAAACACTTCAATGGTAAATATGATGTTCGTATACGGGTCCACTGAAATACCACGCAGGGCACTCAGAGAACTGAACCATTGTTCTAAGTTCTTCTTCAAATACTCTGACAGAGATAGTTCCCGCTCCCTGCTGGACAATCAGAGTAGAGACTGAGCGTGGTTTAGACTTACTCAGCCTATCATTGCACACTGTTGCCAGGCATAAGTTGTTATCATCACTTACTATGAAATTCCTCTCTTCCCTAACGAGCGGTATTGATCAGATATATCTTCTTGTCTTCCATTAAAATCAAAGAACTCATCCTGTACCTCCATGATAGTATTCTGCACTATTTCAGATGAATCTGCATCATTCTCTACTACCATCTGCTCTCCTATCTCAACACTATCCTTACTACCATTGACAGCACTCTCCATCCGTATCATAAACTCCTGAGTCACTCTTGCTACATCCTTTAGTTTCAGAAAAGTTGTTGTTGGTGTCTGTGTCATATTTCCTAAATTTGTTATTGCCGTCGTACCATTAATCTCTTTCAAAGTTGCTATTAAAATAGTTGCTTTAGCTGATGTATTAACACTCTTAACTATTTCCAGTGGGAATGTTACAGATATCCTCTGTGTATTATTTACTGTTGGAGTGGCTACTGTAATATACTTCTCCTGAACTCCTTTGGTGACTGTGGAAGCTTCAACAGACTTCAAATCTTCCATCATAAGCGTCACCTTACGAGTTACATAGCCTTTTAACCAATAATTGTTAGCCGGAACAAACTTTAAAGCTTGCACTAAATAAGTACACATATATTCTCCCTGATCTTTCCATGTAACATTACACAAAATAAGTGAGCAATCACTCATAACCCTCTTCCACTTCATATCGTTGTACAAAATATACTTCCTTTGACTAGGGGGCACAGCTTCTACTTCTGGTCCTGATAACAACACTTCTTCTCCATAATTATCTCTCCATGTGGGAGGAACGTCACCACCCCCACTCCATCTCTCACATCTACAAGGAAGATGAGCTGTACCACCAATCCTAACCCTAATGACAGTCTTTTCCTCTAAAATTGGTGCTGGAGCAATTGGCTCCCTTGTAATCAAATGTGATACATTTATAGCTTTAATAACTGTCAATGTTGAAAGAGTTGAATTGCTTCTCACTGTTGTTATAATAGGCTGAAGTGTTGATGTCATTGTTGTTGATTCATCGATTCTCCATAAAGCTTTGAACTCTTTACTTGTATTTCCATCTATCACCACTAGTGTCACTACATCAACTCTCAGTCCCAACTCTAATCCCTCACTTTCAAACTGTTGATTATAAAAAATACATTTATAATCACCTTGATCTTCCTGCTGGGAATTGTAAATATAGATACTGCAATCACCCTCAATCTTCATTCTTCTCTTATCATTCAGCAACGCATCCTTTCTCAATGCAACTGCTCCTAACATATCTAAACTCCTGCCATATCTATCTTCCCACTGAACTCTAAATTTCCCTTCACCACTGTTCTCTCTCGTGCACTTACATTGAAGCTTAGCTGACTGTCCTAGAGTTCCTTCAACCCTAGTTTTCCTAACTTTTTAATCTGACTTTTCTCCTAACTTTTAAAAAACCATTTCACTGATTTATCCACAAATTCCTTTCCCACTAATTTTAGGATATGTGATCGGGAAGTCCCCACCTGTTTATGACTTCTTTACACACAGACTTGGCAAACGACTGAGCATCTTTTAGCTTAGTTTGAAATCTTATTCCCCTCTTGGTGAAGGAATGTAACCAAGAATAACAGTCACACCCTGTAAACATTACTTTTCAGACAGATTGTCCACCTTCCTATGATATAATAAATATTTTCAAGCCAATATGGTTCCCAAAAACCCTACTCCTTTGTAATCTTTCTCCTAACCTTAGCCTTCTTTAAAGAATCTTCACTGAGATTTCCAATCCAGAATACTAAAGACAAATCCATCTCTGTCATCATCAACAATTGGTAAACCTTTTCCTTTGGTACTTCTACCAGACAGCCGTCTGGTGTACATCTTATTGTACAGTTCAACTTACACAATGCATCTCTTCCCAACAATGCAATAGGTGTATGTTCTGATACCAGTATGGGTATTGTAATTTTTAGATTTTTATAGCAGAGCTCAATTGGTTCCGTAAGAGGAATCAGCTGTTTTACTCCCTCGAATCCGATTGTCCTAATGAGTTGATTGGACATAGGGAGATGTGTAGCATCTTCAGGCCGAACGCAGGTAAAAGCAGCTCCGCTATCCGCCATCACTTCCAATGGTCGGTTGTTTATTTTCACCTCAATTGTTGGATATTTTTCCGGTCCTGATGCTACCAGCTGACACCCCCCTTTCGGATCTTCTGGGCACCCCTAGAATCCTTGCTGCGGGCCCCTATAGGGGTTCACCTGTCCTCCAGATGATCTTGACTTGCTCCTGTATCTTCCTCTGAAATTCGCTCTGATGTTTCCTCCTGGCCCATTGCACTCACAGCAAAGTGACCAACCTGTCCACAACTATAACACACTTCTGGAGATTGCTGGAAGTATGGCTTAAATCTTCCTCCTCTTCCTCTTTCTAAGCCTTCTCGTCCTCTTCCTCTCCAATTCTGTGTCTGTCCAGAAACTGGCTGTGGATATGAAACAACTGGTACCGCTATTGGTGGCTGGTACAATTGCGGTTGGAACTGGTCCGGTTGAAGCTGTGGCAGTGATTGTTGATTTGGTGCACACTGATTCTGCATAACCAAAGCTTGTTTCTTCTCCTTCTTATTCTCCACCAGTTGTATTTGATTGAGTTTTCTGAGAGTTTCTTGGTCCTGTTCTTTCTGGTTGTGTTCCTTTTTCCTGTACAGATCCACTTGATGGGCTATATGATCTGTATAGACACCTTTTGTCATGCTTCCAAGTCCAACCACCTCTGCCAGTTTGCTCCTTACTGGTGAGGGCAGTCCCATCTGCAGTTTAGCTCTCAAAATTGACTGCTCAATTTGACTCACATCTGGATCATTTCCGGTAATATTTCTCCACACTTGATAGACTCTTGACACACAGGCTCTCGGATTTTCTTGTTGTCCTAGTGGATCAATCAGAATGTTGTCAGGATGCATATTTGTTGGAAACGTATCTTTCAGTGCTCTCCACAGCCGATTCCTACTTGCAGCCAACAATTCAGGATCATTCACTGCAGTCCCCACATATCTATTGAGTCCAGCTCTCTGAAATATTTCTTCCATATCTGGAATCCCAAGGAGATTAGCCAAAAGTATCTTAATGTCTCCTATGGCTGACTGTGTTCCCACCGTAATTTCTTCCAATTTTGAAATCCAAGGATAGGCTCCATCTTGAAGAGTAGGCAGCTTCTCAAGTATATCTGACATATCGGTATTTTGCAAAGGCTTATATTCTAGGTTTTGTCCTCGAATGATCACTGGCATCATCTTCTTACTGGTGCCCTCTTTCCTTGGCCTCAATGTATACTTTTTCTCCAATTCTTGGGGTCCTTTTCTCAGCAGTTTTTTTTTCTGTATCTTCAGCTTCTTGAGTTGTTGTTCCAGTTCTCTTACTTCTTCTAAATTATTCGCTTTATCCAGGCATGATACGCATCGGTCTATATCTCTTTCTATTTCTTCTGTGCTAGTCATTGTAGGATAAAATCCTCTTGAATATGAAGCACCTTTAATCTCCAAATCTTTATCGCTGTCTTCATCTTCGCTTTCATCAGAACTGGAATATCTTGTATTCTTCTTCTTCAAACATCCATCACCCCTTCTTTCCGCTCTGGCCAACCTCCGTCTGATCACAGGGTCATATCCACCCATGATCTCTTCTGAATCACTCTGATCATCATCATCATCATCATCTTCAAGTTCCATCCTCCTGAACCTCACTCCACCCTTAGTTTCCAGACATCTCGTTTTTTTCTTACTTTTGGAGTTTGGATTCATTTTTATGGTCGTTTCTGCTTGTCCTCTCTCTATTATTCGTTCATCCTCATCTCTGATGCAATAATCACCCTCCTGAATGATCACTGGAAGCTGAGGATAGATGTCCTTAAACTCTACTTCTTTCTCATAAGGTGGGGGTCTTTTTGCTGAATCCGTATGTGAGAAAGGTGTACTGACTTCTGTCATTAGTTTTTCTGTCACCTTCACTGCTTTTACAATTTTCTCTATATCTTTGTTTCTTTTATCGTTGGTATCTTTCATCAGTTTTTGTCCTTCATTTTCAAACAGCTTAAGAACACCCAGCTCTCTTTGTCTCTTTTCTTTACGTTGTTCCCTTTTTTTCCCTTTCTTTTGATCTGCCTTATGAATTGACAGAAGCACTTTCATTATGTTGATGACGTCAGGGTTAAGAGTCCCTTCCACTGGCCATGGTTGTTCAATGTCAGGCCAACGTTTATTCCATTTTCCAGATAACCTTGCAATACCATTAACTAGAGGATTACTATTTTGTACTACATCAACAGGAGTAATTACTTTCATAGTTTTTATGTCCTTTTTCCCCATTGTAACAACTCTTTTATATTCCTTTATTGTGAATAATTTTATTATTTTAGACTATATAGCTTATGGGTCCCTCCCTTTTTAATTATTATTTTTTATTTTATTTTTTTCTCTCAAATTCATTTATTTTACCAATTTATTAATTAGTGGCAATCTTACCACATCCGATCAAGAAAAGTAAAGGAAAGTAGTCAACTTCAGAGCAATCCAAAAAAAAGAAAGACCTATAATCCAGCAACACTACAGTCCTCACAAACCAATTGCTTAATAAGCACCCAATGACCTTAATTTTACAGAATAATGTCAGTACTCGATTCCCAACACAACTCTAATCAAACCAACTTATTCACAAAAACTCCAATATGCAATTACATCAATTGATCAGTCTGTTGCCAAGTCCCTGTCAAATTGTCACAACATCAAATATGCTAGGCACACAAAATATCCTGTATGGGAAGGTAAGTTTTGTAAATAGAACAGTACTGGCCTTAGTTTGACTGGATCCGTTGCAGCACACCCTGTCGCGTGATGTACACGTCAGCACTTCCGCTCTCTCTCGGTCTCCTCCCTCTCGTCTCTCATATGACAGAATAACAAAGGACAGACAAGAATTTAGTATTTTATGCACACACTGAGTTATTTCAACCATTCAATACTCCTCCGTTCACATTCGCGCTAAGAAATAAGCAAACAACTTAACTCAGGAATAGTATAAATAGCTCAATAACATTTTATTTTATTTATTTTTAATCCATCAACATATCTCTAGTTTATCAATTCGATAGGTCTCAAGAAAACAGTTTCATCGTCAAACAACAGCCGATTTAACAACCAGAATACACTATTAGTGTCTAAATCTTCTCTCTCTCTTTTTCTGTGTCTCCCAGCAGCTCAGTGCAGGCAGGGGAGTGGCATTTTTGCCCTACGTAACTCTAAAGTCATAAAATCACGCGCATGCGTAGTTCATACACCAATACGATTTCAGAGTGGATGGAGCTCCCTCCCAGCTAAACAACAGAAAGTAGACACGCCAACTTTACCTCCGTTCTTCATGAGACAAACAGTAACATTTAACAGAGCTCACAAACCACATAAAACATTGAACACAAATCCTACTTTGAAGTGTCTTAACTTCCCTTTATCCTAATCTGCAGATTTATAGTGATTTTCTTATCCATTACAAAACATCTCTATACACTTATTAAAAACTCCTCCCTGTAGGCTCATGATATTCTAATAGTTAGTAAACGTTCTCTTTTTATAGAGAGTCATGACATTTTTAACCTTAACGTCCTTCCAGGGGGCTCACATATAGTTAACAACCACCAACGTTCTCACCCACGGAGACTCACAAGATCTACAACACAAATTCCTTCCCAACATGAGTCGACACACAGCTCAGACACGTCTCCACTCCACCATTTTTCTCTCTTCCACAAACACACATACATACATACATACATACACAGTTTAAGAGGCTCGTCCCATTCCTATGGACCTCTAAGGTAGTATTCTACCTACATTGCGCCGTATAATTCCATTGTTCCTAAATTTCTGCTACCACGAGGTCGCGGACATGTCAATGAGCGGTCACATCAATCATATAATTCGTCAACCACATGTTGAGAGGTAACTTGCAACCGAATATACAGTGGGGAAAAAAAGTATTTAGTCAGCCACCAATTGTGCAAGTTCTCCCACTTAAAAAGATGAGAGAGGCCTGTAATTTTCATCATAGGTACACGTCAACTATGACAGACAAAATGAGAAAAAATAATCCAGAAAATCACATTGTAGGATTTTTTATGAATTTATTTGCAAATTATGGTGGAAAATAAGTATTTGGTCAATAACAAAAGTTTCTCAATACTTTGTTATATACCCTTTGTTGGCAATGACACAGGTCAAACGTTTTCTGTAAGTCTTCACAAGGTTTTCACACACTGTTGCTGGTATTTTGGCCCATTCCTCCATGCAGATCTCCTCTAGAGCAGTGATGTTTTGGGGCTGTCGCTGGGCAACACAGACTTTCAACTCCCTCCAAAGATTTTCTATGGGGTTGAGATCTGGAGACTGGCTAGGCCACTCCAGGACCTTGAAATGCTTCTTACGAAGCCACTCCTTCGTTGCCCGGGCGGTGTGTTTGGGATCATTGTCATGCTGAAAGACCCAGCCACGTTTCATCTTCAATGCCCTTGCTGATGGAAGGAGGTTTTCACTCAAAATCTCACGATACATGGCCCCATTCATTCTTTCCTTTACACGGATCAGTCGTCCTGGTCTCTTTGCAGAAAAACAGCCCCAAAGCATGATGTTTCCACCCCCATGCTTCACAGTAGGTATGGTGTTCTTTGGATGCAACTCAGCATTCTTTGTCCTCCAAACACGACGAGTTGAGTTTTTACCAAAAAGTTCTATTTTGGTTTCATCTGACCATATGACATTCTCCCAATCCTCTTCTGGATCATCCAAATGCACTCTAGCAAACTTCAGACGGGCCTGGACATGTACTGGCTTAAGCAGGGGGACACGTCTTGCACTGCAGGATTTTAGTCCCTGGCGGCGTAGTGTGTTACTGATGGTAGGCTTTGTTACTTTGGTCCCAGCTCTCTGCAGGTCATCCACTACGTCCCCCCGTGTGGTTCTGGGATTTTTGCTCACCGTTCTTGTGATCATTTTGACCCCACGGGGTGAGATCTTGCGTGGAGCCCCAGATCGAGGGAGATTATCAGTGGTCTTGTATGTCTTCCATTTCCTAATAATTGCTCCCACAGTTGATTTCTTCAAACCAAGCTGCTTACCTATTGCAGATTCAGTCTTCCCAGCCTGGTGCAGGTCTACAATTTTGTTTCTGGTGTCCTTTGACAGCTCTTTGGTCTTGGCCATAGTGGAGTTTGGAGTGTGACTGTTTGAGGTTGTGGACAGGTGTCTTTTATACTGATAACAAGTTCAAACAGGTGCCATTAATACAGGTAACGAGTGGAGGACAGAGGAGCCTCTTAAAGAAGTTGTTACAGGTCTGTGAGAGCCAGAAATCTTGCTTGTTTGTAGGTGACCAAATACTTATTTTCCACCATAATTAGCAAATAAATTCATTAAAAATCCTACAATGTGATTTTCTGGAAATTATTTCCTCAATTTGTCTGTCATAGTTGACGTGTACCTATGATGAAAATTACAGGCTTCTCTCATCTTTTTAAGTGGGAGAACTTGCACAATTGGTGGCTGACTAAATACTTTTTTTCCCCACTGTATATACCACAACCTCAAGCCCCCGGGACTCACCTAAATACACCTAACGTGCTTTTAGGATTTTCGGCCCATCCTAATGATCGCCTCCTGAGAGGACTTCCATAGATTCGCAATGGTCTAATTTGTATACATTTACCCTGGCCTTATTCCTTCAGTATATTATTCAATAGTTATAGACACTCCCCCCCTGTTTGCGTTGTTACCAGCGCAAACAAATTTAGAATTTTAGAACGGACTCCTATCCCACAGCAAATAACAGCAAAATCTGCACACATAAGTCTTTTAAACGGTACATTTCTCCAGCGCACACACCCATAAGCAAGCGAACCAACCAGCGCACAAAATTGTGAGAAATCCCACCTTATGAGCCGGCGTCTTGAGCGGGAGTCACTTCGCCGCACATGAATGGAACACTGGAGAGACGCATCACGTCCCAAACGTTCCTCACCGCCATTTCTGTTGTTTATAAAGAATAATGCTAATCTTTGCTGTGAGACCAAGGAGTCCGCTTACACTGTACTTTGATTATAAAGGTTTATTTATATCACAAGATTTCAGCATTAGTTTACAGACGTCTGCAGGCATCTGGAGAACAGCGACCCAAAATAATATGTTTGTTCTGACCTCCTTTGTCTCAACCAAGTATTTATAATCTTTACCATGATATGGGTGGTTTCCCATACAGACCAATCCCATGAGACTTCCTCTGTTTTATGGGGTGCCCCTATAAAACTGCTCCCCTAAGCTGAATCAACATCCTCCAAGATACCATTTGAAAACGTTAGCAAAGTCATAAATTCCTCAGATACCACACTATCAAAATAAAATTGCAACACTTGCTGATAAACTTTTAAAACGGCAACCACAGACAGACAGCATAAGCACAAGCAAACGCACGTGTGTAGACTTAAATGGGCGTGGCTTACAGGTCACGCTGGACCGGATGTAGTTACATCCAAAACATTCCACCTTCATATAGGACATGCCAGTTAAGTAGTCAGTTGCCTTGTCAAATTGCCTAACTAGCTCTGTGTGTTTTCGATATTTTCAGTAACTATGAGTAGTTTAAAATGTATGTTCGCATGCTCTAGTAAGACCCTGAAGATAATAAAAAAAGTTATTATACATGGCTAACTGCATAAAATGGTGTTTTAGCTAGCTAGATAGCTAACGTCAAGCTAGCTGTGTTGCATAAATTCCAGAGTTCGACCGCATCTAAAGTTATAATTATTGATTTCTTTTTTTTTAAATCGCATGCAATTTATTTCAAGAGGACTCTCTTATTGCCACGACTGCCTCTCTTCAAACGAGCAGAAGTTAATGTTTAAGACAAGTTCCAAGCCAGTGGTGTAAAGTACTTAAGTAAAAATACTTTGAAGTACTACTTAAGTAGGTTTTTTGTTGGTATCTGTACTTTACTATTTATATTTTTGGCTACTTTTACTTAACTACATTCCTAAAGAAAATAATTTACTTTTTACTCCATACATTTTCCCTGACACCCAAAAGTACTCGTTACATTTTGACAGGAAAATTGTCCAATTCACACACTTATCAAGAGAACATCCCAGGTCATCCCTACTGCCTCTGATATGGAGGACTCACTAAACACATGCTTCATTTGTAAATAATGTCTGAGTGTTGGAGTGTGCCCCTGGCTATCCGTAGAAAAATTAAAATAATCCTGTGTGGTTTGCTTAATATAAGGAATTTGAAATGATTTATACTTTTACTTTTGATACTTAAGTACATTTGAGCAATTCCATTTACTTTTGATACTTAAGTATATTTAAAACAGGCAAGTGAATCGACTTTGGCCGACTGTCAAACTTCACAGCTGCCAGAGCAGAGAAGGGAGAGGACTCCTTCCTCAAAATGTTCCTGCTTCTGATTCCTGCCACCACATTAGGTCTTGGGACATGGCAGGTATGGCTCCATTATTCGGGTTAGCTGACAATGTAACGAAAACGACGCGCGCGCTTCAAAAGGGACAGAAGGCTGTGTGTTATGGATGGTCAGATACACTACATTACCAAAAGTATGTGGACATTAGGCCTGGCTCGCAGTCGGCGTTCCAATTCATCCCAAAGGTGTTAGATGGTGTTTAGGTCAGGGCTCTGTGCAGGCCAGTCAAGTTCTTACACACCGATCTCGACAAACTATTTCTATATGGACCTCGTTTTGTGCACAGGGGCATTGTCATACTGAAACAGGAAAGGGCCTTCCCCAAACTGTTGCCACAAAGTTGGAAGCACAGAATGGTCTAGAATGTCATTGTATGCTGTAGCGTTAAGATTTCCCTTCACTGGAACTAAGGGGCCTAGCCCAAACCATGAAAAACAGCCCCATTCCATTATTCATTACAGTTGGTACTATGCATTCGGGCAGGTAGCGTTCTCCTGGCATCCGCCAAACCAAGATTTGTCCGTTGGACTGCCAGATGGTGAAGCGTGATTCATCACTCTAGAGAACGCATTTCCACTGCGCCAGAGTCCAATGGAGGCAAGCTTTACACCACTCCAGCCGACGCTTGGCATTACGCTTGGCATTTCATGGAGCTCCCGACTAACAGTTATTGTGCTGACGTTACTTCCAGAGGCAGTTTGGAACTCTGTAGTGAGTGTTGCAACCGAGGACAGGCGATTTTTACGCGCTTCAGCACTCGACGGTCCCATTCTGTGAGCTTGTGTTGCATACCACTTCGCAGCTGAGCTGTTGTTGCTCCTAGACGTTTCCACTTCATAATAACAGCACTTACAGTTGACCAGGGCAGCTCTAGCAGGGCAGAAATTTGACAAACTGACTTGTTGGAAAGGTGGCATCCTATATCAGTGAGGCCATTCTAGTGCCAATGTTTGTCTATGAAGATTGCATGGCTGTGTACTAGATTTTATACACCTGTCAGTAACGGGTGTGGCTGAAATAGCCGAATCCACTAATTTGAAGGGGTGTCCACATACTTTTGTGTATATATAGTGTAGCTAGCAACAATGACAAGAAACTGCCATGTGGTGAATCGTAAGTGGCTTGTTTCTGCTCATTTGATCTTATTCTTGATACCATGTCATGTTTTGAGGTGTTTTGACTGATGTCACGTCTATGCTAATATGGCTAGGGGTTGGTTGTTTAGCAACAAAACCGACATGTGCGCAACTATGGGGCAAAACAGACAGGGTTGGCTTAGATTGTTGACAACATGTAAACTATATTTAGTTTCCAAATGTTTATTTAAAACAAAGTTGCACAATGAGCACTTGTCTATCAAATACATTGTAACAGTTGTTGGTTAGCTAGCTAGCAAACTTTTGCCATATTAGCATAGACTTGACATCAGTCAAAACACCTAAAAACAAGACATGGTATCAATAACAAGATATGACACGGACTTCTGCACCATTGAAGCGCACACAATGTTTTCGTGACATTGTCAGGTAACCCGTCTATACAGTAGTTCAAACCTCTAGAATAGATATGAAAAATGATACTGACCTAAGTCACTCTTCTACTCAGGTGAAACGGCAGGAATGGAAAATGCAGTTGATTGCAGAACTGAGGAGTTTTACCTCCGCAGAACCTATCTCTCTTCCTATTGAGTGAGTGACACAATCACTAGTTATCAGACATAATTGCACATAATTACGTTGTCTTGCCTTTTTAGGTCAGACTGGAAGTGTTTGTAATGTTCTTGTTATGTGTCTTTGCTTCCTAGTCCTCTGGAGCTGAATGACCTGCAGTACAGGAGAGTGAAGGTGCGTGGGCGCTATGACCACTCCAAGGAGATGTACATCTTACCCCGCTCGCCTGTCGACCCAGAGAAAGAGGCCAGGGAGGTAGGCCAGCTGTCATCCAGTGGCGAGACTGGAGCCAATGTCGTTACACCGTTCTACTGTACCGACCTAGGGTAAGAACTCTACTCATTACCTTATTCTACTTTACCAGGGTATGATGTAAACATACTCCATTCAACATAATCCACAACCAATTCTACTGCACCAGTCAATAATAAGGTCCTAAATTTCACCCAGTTCCCTTTCTACAGTAGTTTTGTATGTGAACTACAACATTTGAAGAGATTATAATCTCATTACACAAAAGTTATATTGTTGTATATATTTCACAGGATTACTATCCTTGTAAACAGAGGATATGTTCCAAGGAAGAAGATCAAACCAGAAACCAGGATGAAGGGACAGGTAAACGTGACTCCCTATTCATTGTCTAATTCAAGACTCCCAAGTTGCAAAACTGCAAAGTTCATACAGTATACTAAATAAGCCATTTAGCAGATGCTTTTATCCATATGCATATATTTTACACATGGGTGGCCCGCAGGATTTGAACCCACAATCTTGACATTGCAAGCGCCATACTCTTATGTTATAGGTGATGACTTTGTCATTGTGCTGCCCTGTAGGTAGATGACGAGGCTGACTGAGATCCGCAAACCCTTTGTGCTACAAAACGATGTGGAGCACAACCGCTGGCACTACCGCAACCTGGCCATGGCCAGAGTCCCAGAGGCCGAGCAGATCTTCATCGATGCTGAGCTCTTAGTATTAGTAATCTTGCACGTTGTTTTAATTGCATGGATATGATGATCAAGCATGATGTGTCCGGAAATAAGGTATTTGAATGGCAATTAACATTCCCTGTGGAGGTTTGGAATAACTGCATTTCCCAACATTTTCTTTTAGCAAAAGTGTGTTGGTAATGTGTGCTTCTTTGAGAATAAATGGAAAGCTTAGGTTTGTTTTTTTTATTCTCGGACAGCACAATTCCGGGTGGACCTATAGGAGGACAGACCTGAGTCACCCTCAGGAGTGAACATATGCAGTACATTATGATGTGGTGGGTTTCAGAATTGTTCATATCACAATCAATGTCCCTATTTTTTTCTTCACTGGGTATAGCCTAGCCTCTTGGGCCTGGATTGCATAAATAGAATTATGCACATCTAATGAGTGCTTCTCTTCCCATCTGTAGGTATGGCCTCTGCGCAACAACCTCTTACATGTGGTATGCAAAGTTCATCAAAAGGATTGTGTAAATGAATACATTGTTCAAGATGCCATGAATATACCACGTGGACAGATCATGGAAGAATAGAAGCAGCTGTAGGTACTTCAATTGACTTGCTTTTTATTTTGACAAATGTGTAAATAGTTGGATTGTGTATATACACTAAAGTGTGATGTAATACCCACAATGCTTCTTGTCTATTCATTCAGTATATCTACGATTGTGTAATGATTGATCAGTCTAAGTATTCTTCACACTTAGGCCTGGATAGTTTCACCACTTAATTCGGGTGAAGTGGCGATACTACACAAATCATTGTACATATTGTGCCTTGCAAAAGTATTCATCCCCCTTGGCGTTTTTCCTATTTTGTTGCATTACAACCTGTAATTTAAATATAAATTGATTTTTATTTGGATTTCATGTAATGGACATACACAAAATTACAGATCAGGGTTGGGTTATGAAAAAATATCTGAAACTTTGAACATCCGACAGAGCACCATTAAATCCATTATTAGAAAATGGAAAGAATATGCACAACAAACCTGTGAAGAGAGGGCCGCCCACCAAAACTCACGGACCAGGCAAGGAGGGCATTAATCAGAGGCAACAAAGAGACCAAGGATAACCCTGAAGGAGCTGCAAAGCGGAGATTGGAGTATCTGTCCATAGGACCACTTTAAGCCGGAAGAGTGGCCAGAGAAAAGCCATTGCTTAAAGAAAAAAAATAAGCAAACACATTTGGTGTTCGCCAAAAGGCATGTGGGAGACTCCCCAAACATATGGAAGAAGGTACTCTGGTCAGATGAGACTAAAATTGAGCTTTTTGGCCATCAAGGAAAACGCTATGTCTGGCGCAAACCCAACACCTCTCATCACCATCCCCACAGTGAAGCATGGTGGTGGCAGCATCATGCTGTGGGGATGTTTTTCATCAGCAGGGACTGGGAAACTGGTCAGAATTGAATGATGGATGGCACTAAATACAGGGACATTCTTGAGGGAAACCTGTCAGTCTTCGAGAGATGTGAGACTGGGACAGAGGTTCACCTTCCAGCAGCAATGACCCTAAGCATACTGCTAAAGCAACACTCAAGTGGTTTAAAGGGAAACATTTAAATATCTTGGAATGGCTTAGTCAAAGCCCAGACCTCAATCCAATTGAGAATCTGTGGTATGACTGAAAGATCGCTGTACACCAGCAGAACCCATCCAACTTGAAGGAGCTGGAGCAGTTTTGCCTTGAAGAATGGACAAATAAAAACCTGGCACTGTCTTAAAATCTGAACATCTATGGTCATGCAAAATGTGCCACTATATTCCCCACAGTATATCAACAGCTAACCTCTGACTGGCATTGATGTTTTAGTGATCAGCACAATGATATCCAGCTTCAAATAGGTTAAAACATAAATTATACTGAACAAAAACAATGTTACATAAATAATTATACTGAACAAAAACAATGTTGATCCCATGTTTCATGAAATCCCAGGAAAAAAGTTCCATATGCACATTTCTCAAATTAATTTATATTGAAACAGGTCCATCTTGTGCTGGGGACGATAAAAGGCCACTTTAAAATGTGCAGTTGGTGTTTCGGAGGACGCATGGCTCTCGACCGTCGCCTCTCCCAAGTTCGTACAGGGGTAAAGGGAAAAAAAAAAAAAACTGTGCAATTGGAATGACTGCAAGAATGTCCACCAGAGCTGTTGCCTGTGAATGTAATCTTAATTTCTCTACCATAATCTGCCTCCAATGTCAGTTTAGAGAATTTGGCAGTAAGTCCAACCGGCCTCTAGACTGCAGGCCACTTGTAACCACGCCAGCCCTTGATCTCCACATACAGCTTCTTCACCTAAGGAATTGTCTGAGGAGTATTTCTGTCTGTAATAAAGACGTTGTGGGGAAAAAGTCATTATGATTGGCTGGCCCTGGTCTGTCAGTCAAAGTGGGTGAGCCTATGCCCTCCAAGGCCCATGTGAAATCCATAGATTAGAGCTTAGTTTATTTCAATTGACTGATTTTCTTCTATGAACTAACTCAGTACAACAATTTCACAGATTTCATGTTGAGTTGATATTTTTTGGGTTCAGTATTGACAAAAGACAAGATAAAAACAGCATATTTCTTGGGACATTTATTTTAATAGCAAACAGTTTATCCAAGCTTGGTGGCCAGTTCCTTGGCCTTTGCCTTCTCCAGCTTTGTGATGCGGGCTGTGGACTTAGGGCCCATGATACCACCTCCCCAGTGACGACGGATCTAGGAAAGGAAGCAAATTGTCATGATTTAATTGAAGTCCGGAATGGCATAAGGAAGACCTTTCAGAGACAAAGGGGACGACTGCGGCAATGAGGTGACTTGTGTGCCTCCAGATCACCTCCAGTTATGTAGCGACGTCGCAATATTTTTGGACGATAGATTTGACACCCGTATCGGTTTGTAAAAGTTAGCGTTAGCTAGTGCTAGTCTGCTGTACCTGCGCCAAAAGGCAGGTATTTTTTTATCCTATAGCTTGTTCAATCCCCCAAAAATAGTGAGCCAGTCTGTTCAGCACTACCATTTCCCTGACTGATCAAAACTCATTATCATGCCCTCAGTCTCCCTGCAGCATACAGTGAGCAATATGTACTCCTGAGTGGCGCAGTGGTCTAAGGCACTGCATCGCAGTGCTAACTGTGCCACTAGAGATCCTGGTTCGAATCCAGGCTCTGTCGCAGCCGGCCGCGACCGGGAGACTCATGGGCGGCGCACAATTGGCCCAGCGTCGTCCAGGGTAGGGGAGGGAATGGCCGGCAGGGATGCAGCTCAGTTGATAGAGCATGGCGTTTGCAACGCCATGGTTGTGGGTTCGATTCCCACGGGGGGCCAGTATAAAAAATATATATATAAAAAATATATGTATTCACTAACTGTAAGTCGCTCTGGATAAGAGCGTCTGCTAAATGACTAAAATGTAAATGTAATGTTTGGAACATAAAATCGCAATATATATCGTATCAGCGCCTATGATTCGTGAGGTCCCTGGCAATTCCCAGCCCTAAAGCCATATACAGAAATTAGGTCTCAAGAAAATTGCATCAAGTGATCCTGGTGGGTGTCAGCATCCCTGTTAAGATAGCAAATATTATTTCACGTCATCTGCAAAAACCCAAATTTGAACCCGCAAGATAATACATTCCATCGTCAGGACACCGAAACATGGTGGCTTGACTACTAGTCAATATTAACAGATGGTGGTCAGACCAGCCACTCACCTCCTCGTATCTGTCATTGTAGTTGGTCTTGATGGCTTCCACCAGCTTGGCAAGGGCACCTTTGTCCTCACTGAAAAGGTAGGAACATGTTATCAGTGAATCGTCACAAAGAACATTTGAGATCCAGTTAAACCGCACACAATCTTTTGGTTCAGGGTTAAAAAGCTTATAAAGCCACATGGTTGTTCAGTTGAAGAAATTCATACATCATTACCAAAGGATTTCATAAATATTATAAAGCACAAGCCCAACTTCCCAGAGGTAGGCCTCAGTGCATCAACCACTTTCACAAGTGTTTGGCGTTGCCACCTGTTACTTACGGGTTTGTCTGTGTGAAGGCAACTGAAGTGCAGGTCTTTCTGTGCACCAGTCTTCCCAGCCTGGCCTTGCCCTTGACAATGCAGTAAGGGACGCCCATCTTACGACACAGAGCGGGCAGGAACACCACCAGCTACAGAGGGGACAAGAAAACGACAAGTATAAGTATCTATTCTTTATGGAGCAAACATTTGTGACTGTGCTTTCGCTTCTACAATACAGTGGTCTTAGCTCAGAATTAAAAAGCTTGTATGTTTTGATCCACATGGAGGATTCAGGTGAAGAAATTCAAGCATCATTGCGAACGACCACATTTCCCCATGAATAATGATCAAGCCTGCAACAGCTCACCCATAACGCACAAAATAAGCATAGAATGGTGAAAGGAGTCCTACCTCAATAGGGTCCACATCGTGGGCAATGACCACCAGCTGGGCCTTCTTGCTTTCCACTAGAGTGGTGACTGTGTTCACACCTATGGGAGAATTCAATATGGATATCAAACCCACGTTCAACCAAGAGTTCTGTTGAACTAAAACAATACTTATGGCTGATGCTCAGGGTTAAAAAGCTCAATAAAAAAACTACATGATTGTTTCAGGTGAAGAAATTCAAACATCATTGCATCAAGGCCAAAGTATGTAATCAAAAAATAATTGCAATCCATCATGCCTCACCTGCACGGAGAACAGGAGGCCTCTTGGTTGGGGCGTCTCCCTTTCCAGCGGCCTTCTGCTCAGCGCGGGCCAGCAGCCTCTGCTTCTTTTCCTGCTTGGTCTCCGGCCTGTACTTGTGGGCCAGCTTGAACAGCTGTGTGGCTGATGGGAAATAGAGAATTAGTACATCCCACTGGCGCTGAGGCATTTCAGAAAACATCTGCAACTCAAGTTATCTAAAGTTAGGGAGCCACACAGATAGCTCGAGGGTCTTTCAAGTACAGTAAGGTGCATCAGTGATCTTGGTGGGTGTCAACATTGCTGTTCAGTTAGCAAATATTCTTTCACATCATCTGCATAACCCCCAATATTCCAGCCATCTTCAGAAACAATTCCCCCATGCCAATAGACAACTCAACGACATTGATAAGCTCATGCATAGACTTACCGGTCTGGCGGTCCAGTGCCTGGGTGAATTGGTTGATCGCAGGGGGGACCTTCAGACGCTTGTACAGGATGGAGCGCTGCCTCTGCAGGCGGATGTAGCGGGGCCATTTCACAAAGCGTGTCAGATCACGCTTGGGCTGGATGTCCTGACCTATAAACAAACATGGGGAGGGGGGGGTATAATGCATCCAATCACTTTTGTATGATCAGAAAACAGCCTGAGGCCACTACAATCATGGAACAAGTGCATCAGCGATCTTGGTGGGTTGTCTGCATTGTTGTTAAGATAGCAAATATTCTTTACATCATCTGCACAGGCTGACAAGGGAAGATTTGAAATGGTTACTGAAAATCTAAGAAATCCCAGGTTCACTTAACTCACCAATGCCATAGTTTTTTGGCCTCTTCTCGAACAGGGGGTTGACCACTTTCTTGGCCTCATGTTTCTTGGCCACTGAAGGGGCTGGTGCCACCTTCTTCCCCTTAGACTTCTTGCCTTTAGGCTGTCAAAGGCAACAAGTAGACTGGTCAGCATACATGTTAGCTTGGTCAAATACATTTAACTGAATATAACTTTACTGTGGCTTTAGCTCAGGGTTAAAAAGCTCGTGTTTTGAATCAACATAAAAGATTCAGTTCAAGAAATTCAAAGCATCATTGCAAAAGCCTGAAATAAACGTCAGTGATTGATCATATGCTTGACGCGAGTTCTCATCAACAATACTGTTTTTCGAGTTAACATTAGCTATGGCTGCCTAGTTAGCTAGCTACCCAGCTCGCAAAGGCATAATGGTTTATATGACAACTTGCAATTAATTAACAATTTAAATATCCTACACTACTACCGTTAAGGACAATGAGTTAACCCATTCAGGTCGCATGGAACAGAGAGACCTGTAACCTGTACTGACTGATGCGAGTTTAGGCCTTCGACATTAATTAGCCAACTCGCTAGCTACGTTACTTGCTAAGCGTCTAGTCGCAAAGCAACTACACATTTTCTAACATGCCTAACAAGTGTAATGCATGATTTAGCGTTTACATAAACTGCATTTCAACAAGTTCCAAGACACTGATGGTGTTAAAATAAAGCACGCTGTATGGCTGGTAGTCCGGGAGACAACTGCCACCGGCAATATCATTACCAAGTCAGGGTAGATTTCAGATAAAACAGCAAAACATTTTCACACCATACAAACTTGAAATGGGTACTTTGGTTATGTTCAATAAATAACGGTCACTTTTATGACACATTAACGTTATATGAAGAAGATGGTAAAGGATGAAAACATGTATATTCTCCCCACCAAATGAAATACCCGTACACTCACCATGTTGGATCAGATAGAAAGGAAGACCTATGGATTGTGGGTAATTTAAGTACCGCGATACCTTGATGTGACGTCATGAACAATCGACGGCAGGGTTGTTTTTGAACGGGATGTTTCTAATTTTATAAATAGTATTTTTCAACAATGAATTGGGAGGTAAGTGAGTTTTCATGAATAATATTAGACTATATATAGGGTGCACAAACATAGGATATGTCTAAACATGCATTTCTATGTACATTTTTCCAAGTGGAGAAAGTCAAGACACTGGTGATGCGCTAGCTAGTGCCATGCACATGCCGTTTTATTTTTTTGGTTAACAACATAACTTTATGATCGTATTTTATGTTCTTTATCTCATGTATGTGCTTTTAGTGGGTTTGTTTACATTCTTGAATACGATGGCCAATCAAAGAGCGCTCCCTCAAAGCAAGGAGAGCCTTCTTCAGAACTACAACAAAAGACTGAAGGATGATATCAGGTCCATTCTAGACAACCTCACAGAAATCATCAAAACTGCAAAGGTAGCTGTAACATTACGATATTTGTGTGTGTGTGTGTGTGTGTGTGCCACGTGCACAGGATACAACCAGTGTAAAAAAAAAAGTACAGTGAAATTCCTACCTTGAGAGCTCTTTCCCAACAATGCAGTGATAATAATAATAATATAGAAAATAGAATAACAAATACAAGTAAGAATAAAAGCCACATAAGAACTATGATGAGAATTAAAGAACATGAGAATGCAACTATGTACTGGTCAGTGCCAGTACCTTATTCAATGTGCATTGGTACTGGAGTTGTTGAGGTGGGTTTATACATAAAAAGTGACTGGTAGTAGGATATACATGTGAACAGGGCAGAAAAGTTACTGGTAGCAGGAATGTATAAATACTTATGGTAATATACTAATGGTAATATATACATGTAAACAGGAGTAATAGTGACCAGTAGCAGGATAAATATATATAGTAAATACTATTGGTAATGGCAATTGATAATCAATGGACAGCTGCGGAATGGAGTAATACATCTAATCAATAATCATTTTAGCAGCAGCGTAGGTTGTGTCTGAGTGTGTAGAGACCTGTGGATTGGCATAGAGTCAGTGTGGATAGTCTGTGGGAGAGAGAGAGAGCAGTAGTTGTTAGCAATTTTACAGTCTTATGGCCAGGGGATAAAAGTTGTTTAGGAGTCTGTTTGTCTGAGCCTTGATGCACTGGTACTGCCTGCCAGACGGGAGCGTGGAGAACATGTCTCGGGTGGCTGGAGTCTTTGGCAATTTTTCGGGCCTTTCTCAGACACCACCTGGCATGTACGTCCTGGATAGCTGGGAGCTCGGTGATGCGCTGGGTGGTGAGACATAGTGTGTGTGTGTTTGTCTGTGTGAGCGAGAGAGAGAAACAGAAAACCTTTTTTTTTCTAGTGTGTTTTTTTTTAAACTGAAAGAATGATGGTTCAACCCAAAGAGTCATCACTATGGTCCAACCAAAATGTGTTGGGTTGTTTTGCTTCAGGTAGAGGATGAGACACAGGTCTCTCGGGCTACACAGGCTGAGCAGGACCACTATGAGATGCATGTCAGAGCAGCCAACATCGTAAGTACATTATACTATACATACATACCACCCAGACTCCCCTTGAAACTAAACGAGCTTGCCTTTAAACCCCAGAGTGTACATTCATGACACTAGTAAAGTAAATGATAAACATGGAATTTAATCCTGGCTCATGTTCATTGGGGCATGAAACAGAAAACATTTTAAAATCTTTTGCAACTAAAAACGTTGGTAGTCCCTCCCTGTTTCAGTCAGTGCTTTCCCCATTTGGTGCATAATGAACATGTATTGAGTGCATGTTACAAGGCAAAAGTACCAGTATTAAAAATGTATGCACTCACTAACTGTAAGTCGCTCTGGATAAGAGCGTCTGCTAAATGACTAAAATGTAAATGTAAAAATAATCCCAGTGCTTTGTTGTTGTGTCTAAAGGTGCGTGCGGGCGAGTCCCTGATGAAGCTGGTGTCGGACCTGAAGCAGTTCTTGATCCTCAACGACTTCCCGTCGGTCAATGAGGCCATAAGTCTGCAGAACCAGCAGCTGCGCTCGCTGCAGGAGGAGTGCGACAAGAAGCTCACCTCGCTCCGCGACGAGATCGCCATCGACCTGTACGAGCTAGAGGAAGAATATTACTCCTCCAGGTACAAGTAGGCTCATACTGTACAGTTGTTGTTCAGTTGGCCCACTCCATCATGCCCTATAGCCCAAACCTAGCCCCTACATTATAGCACTTATTCCCCCTCACCGCCGTGCCTTATGAAGGGTTGATCTTACCCCACCACCTCAGTCATATCCATTAGTTCGTTAGTGTCTCTGTATGTCGAGTCAACTTCATTAGAATATCCAAATGCCGGGTTCAACAGCAAAATAGATAGTTGATCTATCTATGGTCAAAAATCAATTGCAGTACATTTATCGTGAGAATCTCATTTCATTTGGTTGAAAATTAAATGAAGTGCCTTGTTTGTCATGCCTCTGGAGGTTTTTATCCTTATGTATGATAGATTCTAGGTCTCTACATGGTAAATGTTACAATCAATCATACGTGTGGAGTATTTAGTGTATCTGTTTGCTATATTCTTCCTCAGTTCTTTGTAATAGGCTCAAATGGAAGTGATGAATAAGATAACATACCTGGAGAGGAAGGAAAGGGAAATGTCTGACAAATACATGTTAAATGCTTTTGAGCATAATTCTTGGACCCTTATGAAGAACAAAAACTTTGATACTATCACTGGAAGTTTATTTCTATTCAGTATATTCAATTGTTATAGTTTTTCCTCCTTTAACATGTCTTTCTAACCCCAAATATAAATTGTGGATGTATAGGTCAATTAACCATTGTATAACCACACAAGGCATTTTAAGCTTTCTATGTTATTTATTTTCTATAGAATGGTTTTTGACTGGAAAGTGCTAGACATCTCTCAAATCCAAACTCTATGAGGGTTCCAGAAACTTGTGTGAACAGAATCCAGTGTTGTATCTCTACCGATTCCGTCCCTAGCTAGCCTACAAGTGACCAAGCCAGTAACCGTGCAAACTGTGTTCACAAAGCATGCACTGTTACACAAAGATCAACTATGGCAATATGTATTAAGTCTATGTCAGTCACCTGCATAGACCCACCCTTTTTAAACATTGAAAAATAAACTAGAGACAAAACAATGTAGTTCATTGTCTAATTTGTTTAACTGTGAGAAATCTGGCTGTCTCTCTGGATGCTGCTTTTAGGCATGCAAGGTGTTCGGGCCACTCTTTTTCTCTGCCTGTGCATTTCCTGTTCTTTCCCCTGCATCAGGACCTAATACACTTCTGGGATTATGGGTACACAGTTACGTGATATGAACAATTACTGTTTTTAGCACTCAGTTCAAGATGACCCAAAGTTAGTCATTCACCCTTTGCTCCAGGTCATGTTCCATTGATTGTGTTGAATTTGGAAATGGGGGAAAAACAAGCTATGAATGTGTTCAGTTGACCGTCTTTGAGATCACATTGCAGCTGTTAATAGCGAAGACGGACAGGAATGAAAGACTACAGACACACTTACAGTGGGGGAAAAAAGTATTTAGTCAGCCACCAATTGTGCAAGTTCTCCCACTTAAAAAGATGAGAGAGGCCTGTAATTTTCATCATAGGTACACGTCAACTATGACAGACAAAATGAGGGAAGAAAATCCAGAAAATCACATTGTAGGATTTTTAATGAATTTATTTTCAAATTATGGTGGAAAATAAGTATTTGGTCAATAACAAAAGTTTCTCAATACTTTGTTATATACCCTTTGTTGGCAATGACACAGGTCAAACATTTTCTGTAAGTCTTCACAAGGTTTTCACACACTGTTGCTGGTATTTTGGCCCATTCCTCCATGCAGATCTCCTCTAGAGCAGTGATGTTTTGGGGCTGTTGCTGGGCAACACGGACTTTCAACTCCCTCCAAAGATTTTCTATGGGGTTGAGATCTGGAGACTGGCTAGGCCACTCCAGGACCTTGAAATACTTCTTACGAAGCCACTCCTTCGTTGCCCGGGCGGTGTGTTTGGGATCATTGTCATGCTGAAAGACCCAGCCACGTTTCATCTTCAATGCCCTAGCTGAACGAAGGAGGTTTTCACTCAAAATCTCACGATACATGGCCCCATTCATTCTTTCCTTTACACGGATCAGTCGTCCTGGTCCCTTTGCAGAAAAACAGCCCCAAAGCATGATGTTTCCACCCCCATGCTTCACAGTAGGTATGGTGTTCTTTGGATGCAACTCAGCATTCTTTGTCCTCCAAACACGACAAGTTGAGTTTTTACCAAAAAGTTCTATTTTGGTTTCATCTGACCATATGACATTCTCCCAATCCTCTTCTGGATCATCCAAATGCACTCTAGCAAACTTCAGACAGGCCTGGACATGTACTGGCTTAAGCAGGGGGACACGTCTGGCACTGCAGGATTTGAATCCCTGGCGGCGTAGTGTGTTACTGATGGTCGGCTTTGTTACTTTGGTCCCAGCTCTCTGCAGGTCATTCACTAGGTCCCCCTGTGTGGTTCTGGGATTTTTGCTCACCGTTCTTGTGATCATTTTGACCCCACGGGGTGAGATCTTGCGTGGAGCCCCAGATCGAGGGAGATTATCAGTGGTCTTGTATGTCTTCCATTTCCTAATAATTGCTCCCACAGTTGATTTCTTCAGACCAAGCTGCTTACCTATTGCAGATTCAGTCTTCCCAGCCTGGTGCAGGTCTACAATTTTGTTTCTGGTGTCCTTTGACAGCTCTTTGGTCTTGGCCATAGTGGAGTTTGGAGTGTGACTGTTTGAGGTTGTGGACAGGTGTCTTTTATACTGATAACAAGTTCAAACAGGTGCCATTAATACAGGTAACGAGTGGAGGACAGAGGACCCTCTTAAAGAAGAAGTTACAGGTCTGTGAGAGCCAGAAATCTTGCTTGTTTGTAGGTGACCAAATACTTATTTTCCACCATAATTTGCAAATAAATTCATAAAAAATCCTACAATGTGATTTTCTGGAAAATAAATTCTCAATTTGTCTGTCATAGTTGACGTGTACCTATGATGAAAATTACAGGCCTCTCTTATCTTTTTAAGTGGGAGAACTTGCACAATTGGTGGCTGACTAAATACTTTTTTCCCCCACTGTATATAGGGACATCATCACAGCACCAGATACTAAACCTACTAGCTAACATTTCTCTGTGATCCTTCTAGAGCTTAAGCTTGTCCTTCATACTACTGTTTCCTGACTTTTTGTGTGTATCATACCTGTCTGTCTCTTTTGTGCATGTGTGTGTCTGTACCAGATGTGAGTCGGACACTCACCTGCCCCTTCCTCTCTGTGCTTTGCTGATTCTATGCCCCCCTATGGTTTTTGTTCTGGTAAAGCTACAGTCAGTTGGACAGTACGGACCTGCCCCTGTGCGAGGCCTACCGGCGCTGGGACAGTTGGGCGTCCCCGGACGGGGGCGACATATCCGGGTCAGCCCATGGGGGCGTGGAGGACACAGACGGACCCACCTCACAGGAAACTTCCCCCAAACACGACTTAAACGGTCACGGGACCACTGCCGCGGTAGACGAGCCCTAAAGAACTGGAGGAGACCATTTGGATGGGCACATAGACGGGTTGGCTGACAACGTCACGAAAATTATGCACACGCATGGACGTGGCCGGAAGGCATGCATTTTGATTCTAAACAGTCAGATAGTTAGCAACAATGACAAGAAACTGCCAAGTGGGGAATCGTAGGTGGCTCGTTTCAGCTCGTATCTTGTTATTGATACAGTGTCTTGTTTTGAGGTGTTTTGACTGATGTCATGTCTAGGCTAATATGGCAAAAATTCACTAGCTATGTAACCAACAACTGTAACAATGTATTTGAGAGAGAAGTGCTCATTGTGCAAATGTATTTATGTTTTCAATAAACATTTGGAGACTAAATGTAGTTTACATGTCAACAGTCTAAGCCAACCCTGTCTGTTTTGCCCCATAGTTGCACAGGTCAGTTTGGTTGCTAAACAACCAACCGTTCTATTGGAACAGAGAATGGACCTCTCCCTCCATCACAGTGTGTATCACTCTGGGTCTAACATTACACTACAAACTGCACAAATATTTTATTAAATCAATAATGGTAATCCATCTCAGGTTACTTCACGTATCCGTTGAAACAATAAAATGTGTGGTAACCAACTGTAACACAGTTCATAAATGCTGTAAGATCTGTAGCCACGTATTTGCCATTTTAGTATTGTTCATTCATGAATAGTTGGGACAAGATTAGAAATAATAATACTTCATACAACTAGTTTGAAGACTTAATTAGCTGGGCCAAACAATTTAAAATGCTGTCTCCCGAAAATCTAAGATTATAAAGATGTTTTGTTTTGGTCTTAATATCCCCATTATGTACATTGTTGTTGATATTTTGTTAGGTAAAAAAAAAATGTTACCTCTGTGTGGTCCTCTGTAGCTCAGCTGGTAGAGCACGGCGCTTGAAACGCCAAGGTAGTGGGTTCGATCCCCGGGACCACCCATACACAAAAATGTATGCACGCATGACTGTAAGTCGCTTTGGATAAAAGCGTCTGCTAAATGGCATATTATTATTATTATTATTACCTCAGAGACGTACAGTATTACTAGATGCCACTTTCTTTCGTTCTGTTAAAACATGTCTAAATGTATGACTATAGGACTGCATGTCATGCAAGTGTATGGATGTTACATTCTTGGATTTCTTTTGTAGCAATGTTTTTGTAATTTTGCATTTGCAGTTAGTAAGCCTTTGTCATGAAGGATTAGACAAGTCAATAAAACATCATTATAAACTCAAGCTTCGGTCTCTCATCTTTTAAAAATCCCAGATATTTCTGGAACAATCAAATAATGTATTCTGCTACAACAAAATGACTTTTATTCTAACTTTGACACAAAAAATCTAAAATAACATGGGAAATGTATTGTAGAAACAAAGGATGGAATGACCATCACATAAGTCAGATTTATGACATTTCACATGCTATCTGTAATGGTAAATGACAAAGCAAAAACTGTTTTTTAGATATTTTTGCAAATGTATAACAAAATACTTGAGTCTTCTTGGGTATGACGCTACAAGCTTGGCACACCAGTATTTGGGGAGTTTCTCCCATTCTTCTCTGCAGATCCTCTCAAGCTCTGTCAGGTTCGATGGGGAGCTCCGCTGCACAGCTATTTTCAGGTCTCTCCACACGTGCGGAGATCATCCGTTCACCTACTCTGCGTCTCACAAAGACACGGCGGTTGGAGCCAAAAATCTCAAATTTGGACTCATCAGACCAAAGGACAGACTTCCACCGGTACATTGCTTGTGTTTCTTGGCTGAAGCAAGTCTCTTCTTATTATTGGTGTCCTTTAGTAGTGGTTTCTTTGCATGGACATGATGAACCTTCTTGTGATGGTATAAAAGACAGCCATTTTGGCTAGGGAGTTGGTAAACCATGGTTTGCCAGTGTTGTGATAAGATAGTGTAAAATAATGAATTTGAAGAATTTATCTGCACTGTTTGTTTGTTTACTTGCCAGTTTTAGAGGAATGATGCTATGCATTTTTCAAATTAACTGCCAATATGCCAACATTCCATTCAAACAATGCAGTCAATCCACAGCCACACACTGGCTGAAATCAGCTGAAGATAGGATTTAGACAAGTTGTAAATGTAACAAGTACCGATATTGTATCATATAACAGCAGTCCAATAGTACTTTCCCCCAATTATTATTTTTTGATATTTATGGTATGTTTACATATATTATAGAGGACATTTATACAGAAGATTTGTATAAAACCCATATTATTTTATTATTATTATTATTTTTTTTTTTTTTGGTCATTTAGCAGACGCTCTTATCCAGAGCGACTTACAGGAGCAATAGAAGGATTACTTTATCCTATCCCAGGTATTAAGACCTTTAAAGACCTACATTAAATTATTGATATGGTAATACAAATTGGGTAAAAGGAAAAGTGCCCAGCCAACTATTAAACCTCTATATAAAAAAAAGAACACCTCCCCATTGCACTATTTAACCCTACTCCAGACCAACGGTCTGAGGACAAACACTACCACTCAACACCCGCAGGACAACTGCGAAAACTTGCAGTCGACTGCAGTCAAAACTTCACGACCTTTCATTACATGAAAAAAATTAATGCAGTCAACATGTTGGACCATTTTTTATCCCCAGAATGCAACACACTGAAAAGCGGTGACCAATAGTCACCGACTTGACAAAAGTGATCCGCTCAAACGCGCCCATTATCTCTATGGTTCAGACCAACAACTGTATATATGAATGGACAAAGCCATCGATCACGTGACACAATTCATTCCTATTGAAGACTCAATAGCACATTGAAGTCTCATGGATACATAAAATGTGCAGTTTTAGCTACTCCAGGAAGTGACGTTGCAGACTAGCTCAGTGCTGCCCCCTCTCATTGAGTAAAGGAGTCTGCATGCTTCCTAGCCGAAACAGCTCGGAAGAGTTCCTGCATATATTATGACGACATTTTGTAACGTTTTTGTTCATTTTGGACTTCGGTGAGGGTTTTTTCAGGTGTTTGGGTACACAAAATGTTTTATTGAGGCAAACCAAAGTCGGTAGCCTAAGTCTACGCCCCTTCGTCGGTGATTGGTCAACAGTAACGATTATTCAGTAAAGTCTGCCATTCAACGAGACGACTCGATTTCATGTACATTTTTTCATTGAGAAATACTGTACCAAACATCTTAATCAAATGTAAAATTGCGCGACTAAGATCTCTGGAAAGACGTCAAAATTAATTACACATTTCTTGAGTTATCTTAGATTAATGCTGACTACATGGAGGGAGTGTATACCGACTATGGCGTCTCAAAATGGACAAACAGTACTATTGCCACTTTTTTCAAGGGATATGCGAGCACACTCGTTCGGTTTGGCCTAGCCGACAGCCGTACTGAAGCATGCTGACGCCTTAACGCCATACGTAAAAATGTATGCACACATGACTGTAAGTCGCTTTGGATAAAAGCGTCTGCTAAATGGCATATTATATTTATATTATTATTATTTAACTCAAGTTGAAGGCCAATCGGGGTACTGCAGGCTTCCATACGTTTTCCTTAACTTCCTCTGTGTGCGAGGTAAAAAATAATTGGTTCAAAGACATACATCTAGTATATATATTTTTACACGAAGAGTGCCATATTTCCATAATGGGTGATCAGGTAGCTTATTGGTTAAGAGCATTGTGCCAGTAACCCCGAGCCGACTAGGTGAAAAATCTGTCGATGTGCCCTTGAGCAGGGCACTTAACCCTAATTGCTCCTGTAAGACGCTCTGGATAAGAGCGTCTGCTAAATGACTAATTATTATTATTATCATACTGTTGTTTTCTGCTAACAATGCCTGCCGTACCGCGATCGGCCTTGAACTTCCGCGGCTTCAATGAGAGGGGGGCAGTCGTTCTCCCCTGGTCTAAACAAGAGACTGCTGCAACCTGATTGGCTAAACTCTATACGCAACATCCGGGAAATTCATTTAGTCACTAGCATTGTGGTGGAAATGTGTGTTTAATAAAGAAAGTACATATATTTTGCCTATTTTTCCACCTTCTCGCCATTAAATCGGGTTAATGAGGAAATTGACGCGTTTGCAGCCTGAATAGAGAATGTTTTACGTACAAACCGGTCCACAGGGGATAGAAGAGTATAGCCACAGATAAAACAATGAGACATTTCACCGGAAGTATAAATGTGAAGCATCCGCGTAGCGTTTCCACTCACTACCAATGGTAGTGAAAGGAAGCCCACTGGCAGGCAGTGGGACATGATGGAACGAGATGGATTTTGCCACATTCCTCACATTTTCTCATCAATGAAACATTTGATCTCAATGCAGTTCTGTTCCCAAAACTAAAATCTGTTATGAACAGAGTGGACTAAGTTTTGTAGACTTTACCCTTTGCAAAAGTTATTTTTAAATCACGTTGTTTAGGAGCGCAAAGGCGAATTTAGTTATTGCACACGCGCCCTTGACACAGGTGTTCCCTAACGGAAATATGCAGATGGGGGCTAGAACGCGCCAATAGGCTCTCGCTAGCTCGTGCTTCTTCTGCCCACTATGTCTCATTTGTTCACATTGGAAACGACAGGCTGTGGTCTATGTAAAAATGTCTATCTTGGTTTAGTTATAAAAAATCTTTGGTATAGCCAGCTGCATACATTCCTTTTGGATGGTAAGATGAAATGTCTCAAATCGCCATCTGCCGGCCTTTGGGCTAGAAGCTAGCCATCGTTCACGTCGTGGCTGGCTTGTTAGCTAGTTAAATAGCAAAAGTCTCAAACACTACCTAACTTCAGCTGTTATCTAGTCTTCCTGTTCATTAGCAGAGCTTTCTCTTCTCCTTCTAAAATTCTTACCCGACTGCATTATTGTAGTTTTAGAAAGGAAGGTAGCAAACTTGTTTTTGTGTACACGACTTTACAGTGTACTCAGCTTCTTCTTCTGTGGGTTTTATGGCGG